TGGAGTTTTAATAAAGTTCTAACAGTGGGTTCCACGAAATATGTGATTAAGATTAATTATTAATATTGATTTAAATTAAAATTTTAATGTTAATTTCTACCGTACAGCCTAGGTGTAAAAATGTATTTTCTTACTTTTAATATTATTTTAATGACTACTTAAATAATAAAAAGATTACACCGAACCACAAAATATTGTAAATACTATAACTACTTCATAATTTATGCAAATGGACAACTTTCAAGTTTCAAAAAACCAGATAATTGAAAATTGAAGATACATAATCATTTTTGAGGTAAATGTACCTAAGAAATTGTCCCCACTAATTTAGCTCACGCAAGCCCTTAAGTCCAAGAAAATGGCTCAAAATTTTGGATTTTTTTTTCAAAAACAAGATGCGCCTTTTGGTGTCTAGATCCACAATAGATAGTCAAAAGAGATGTTTATAGCCTTTTCCCATGCATTGCCAATATGTTGGGCATTTTAAGAAGGCCTCACGTCTAGACAAGCCTTCCAAATTATTGATGGTGAGCTAAAGAGGTGAGGTGTTTACTTCACCTTTCACCTTACCTCGCCCGAAGTGGTATCTGGCTTCATGGGAAGCTACATGTTAAGGAGCTAGGGTGTGCACTCTACCTTCCACCGACATTGTAAATAGCAAGGAGAGACAAAACAAATGTACTAAATGCTAGTGATGCTATCAAAAATCGTACATGTCGACTTCCGAGCTCGACAACTGAAAATGAGCACGATTGAGATCTTCCGGTACCTGAAACAAAGGCGTCGAGGTGTGTCATCGTCACCCCTCCGATACTTAAGTCAGAAAGGGAATATGAAAAGAGTATATGTTGTAAATTGTATGTAAAACATACATTGGTAATGAACGAGAATGATATATTTATAAAGGTAGATGGAGGACTCCTAGTAGGACTACAGTGTTGAGATCCCTAGGAATTTTGGTGTAATGGGGAGTTATTGTTTAGTTGATCTTGCGTTTCCCGGGTGATTGGGTTAGAATGAAACTCTGGCGTGAGAGTCTTCTTAGAATGAGGAAACGTATCGATGGAAGGACTCTCTCTCTCTCCTAGGTTAGATAAGCCCATGCATGAAAGGGAGTTACAAGAAACCAAACAGAGCTCGAGAAAGACTATTGACGAAGGAAGCCCAACGTGACGTAACCCGAGGAGATTGACCTCTCCTTGAGGCCAACCAAGGGAAGTTGTCATCGGGATAAGTGCTCGAGCTCAACAAATATTGGTATCATCAGCTAGTATTTAATATTTTGTGGATTCAATATAGGAAAAATTGTAGCTACGGTTCTAAATCTTTCATTTGTATACATACTTGACACAAATCTTTAATTTGACTTAATAGATTGACTTTGACCAAATTTAAAAGGGGTAAAATGGTAATTTTAAATTAATTCTTAAAAAAAAAGGCAAAACCCAACCAAGGTAACCGTTCATCATCTCCTTCACACCCCCACCCCACCGGCCAACCCTATCGCTTGCAACAACAAAACTGAAATCTTAAACCCTTGTCCCAAAGCATATGAAGAAATCTTCTTACAAGCAAAACTTAAAATTCGAAAAAGGAAAGAAAGCATAAGACAGTGGAAATCTGGGAAAAGTTTCTTAGAAGCGGTTCAGGAAAAGAATTTGTGTCGGAGAATTCGGAAGGACATCTGAAGTCGTAGCTGGTTATCTCCTTGATGCAGCTACAGAACGCCGGTCTCACTTTCTTTTCAATTTCCATTTTCACCTTATATTCTCTTGCTATTGCCACCCTTCGACTTGCCCTTTCATGCTGGCCACAAATCTAAGTGCCCAACAGCCATAGTTTTTCGATTGCAAATCCAAGTGCCTACAATCATTTATAGGTCGACCCGATCATCGCTCTTGAGAATCCTATACGTATTAGCTCCTGGTTCGGATAATTCTCTCCCGATTTGATTCGGAACACCAGCGATAAAGGGTGTATAAAAAGAGGTTAATATTAAGAAAATATAGAAATAAATAGTTTGATGAGAAAATTGTATGGTTACCATTTTGCCCATTTTAATTTTATCAAAATTAGTAAAATTTTACTATTTTGGTCAACTAACGGTCAATGGATGGAAACCGTCCATTTGGATTTTCGATGCATATTTTTGAAACGTTTGAGACCTCCGATGGCACAAAACAAAGGTTTGTGCAAAGTCTGCAACTAATTGAAAGGTTTGGTACCTCAACTGCAATTTTCCCTTTTAAAATTGGTCAAAGTTAATTAATTGGATCAGCTAACGGTCAAACTAACGGTTTTCATCCATTTAGATTTTATGTAAGAGTTTTTTTAAAGGTGTAGTACCGTAGATGTTACAAATTAAATGTTTGAATCAAGTTTGCATAAAAATGAAATGTTTGATAACATGACTGCAATTTTTCCTTCAACATAACAAATGGGTAATAAATTGTGAATTCTATACAATTAGAGGATAAAAAATATATAATAATTTAAGAATTTTGCTACCTGTACATAAAAAATGTATATAATGAATTGTATAATAAGATGTGGAAAAAAAGATTGGATGTAAAAGTCAATTGTGTTTTAAATTGACAAATGATAAAATATCATATAACACTATATAATCTATTATGTAAATTTTGATGTACATATAGCAATATTCATAATTTAATAGCAAACATTATTTCTGTAAGGAAAGAGGTCATCATTTATCTCTTAATAATGCTAAAATAGGTTCGTGACAGGGGCTGCTTTGTATGGATTTCTTTTCTTTTTTTCTAGGATTTCCCCCCATGTACAAAAGCCGGCCACCAGAATATTGCCAGAACAGAGAGAAATGCATGGGACCCACCATGTGATCAAAAAAATAAAAAATGCGCGGAATCCACCAAATGTGTGTATTTTCGTGAATTTATGGTGAAATCCTTTCTGTACATCCAGCCCAGTTCTTTTTTCTAATTGCCAAAGCAATGAATTTTTTTTATAATTGTCCAATAATATTACGTCTTAATCCTATCATTTGAGTGGCGAATTTTTCTCTTAGGGTGGAACAGCATGATCGAATTTAATATTGATATATAAAAATTAATAAGATGTGTCGTTCTCGGAATGTGTAATCTTTAATCAGAGTGGTGCTGACGCATGCTCCAATAGCCGCATCCTTTCACTGCCAATTCTGCATCCAGCCATCAAAAAAGCTGCATGAATTCTATTCCTCGTCCTCTTCGCCATTAACCCCCACACTAAAACCCTCGTTCTCCTTCGCCCCCCCACACAGAGAGAGAGAAAGAAATTCACAGTACCTCCATGTGAGGGGATGTAGACTTTGATGTACACTTTTTGATGTACAAGTAGCATTTTTCTTTTCTAATTGCCAAAGCAATGAATTTTTTTTTATAATTGTCCAGTTATATTACGTCTTAATCGTATCATTTGAGCGGCGAATTTTTCTCTTAGGGTGGAACAGCATGATCGAATTTAATATTGATATATAAAAATTAATAAGATGTGTCGATCTCGGAATGTGTAATCTTTAATCAGAGTGGTGCTGACGCATGCTCCAATAGCCGCATCCTTTCACTGCCAATTCTGCAACGAGCCATCAAAAAAGCTGCATGAATTCTATTCCTCGTCCTCTTCCCCATTAACCCCCACACTAAAACCCTCGTTCTCCTTCGCCCCCACACAGAGAGAGAGAGAAAGAAATTCACAGTGAATCGTTGCCTATTCTGCCCGCACCTTCTTGCCACTTCTCCCGTTAGGTGCGTCTTGTTTCTTGGAATTTCTTATATGTATAACAGTCCTGTGATATCGAGTTGGGAATTCTATACATGCCTTTTGTGATTTGCCCATACCTGATAGTATGTTTGGTGGGATTATTGGATAGTAGTATTGTTCTTTACTCCTATCCCATGCTGCCTACCAAACATTCACTAAAAGGTTAATACAATCAAGGCGATACTGGTCCTGGATGCTTAGATTCGCAGTCAGTTGTTTCTTTTGGTGGGATACTGGTATATACTGTTAGCATCAAATTTGTTTTTGTATCTTTCACTGTTTTCCCCTCCCAATTTTGACAACATTCTGGGGAGAAAAAAATCTGGAAAGGAATTTTAACTTTATGACATCATTATAACACTGGAAACAATAGAGAAATGGATAAAAAAACAATATTTTTCTTCAATTTAATTTTCATCCCGCTTAGAATTGAAAATTATTTGATTTATGTGTCTATTTTCAGTTTTCAATAAAAAAAAAAACTGATCTTTATCTTAGGAATATTGGTAAAAATTAATGCCCAAGCTGTTTTTACATGATAATTTGCGGGTAGCTTTTAGCAGTCTAATGGATGGTGTGAAAATTAAGTTTGGTCTGAGATATGAATTGGAGACTGAAAAGTGTTATGTTATTATCCTTTTCAAGTTGGAGGTCTTTGAAGAAAGAAAGAAAGAAAGTTAGATAATAAGAAATTAGGCAGGAGAAATTGATCTTTCAAGTACATTGGAATATGTTAGTTGTTAAGTCTAATTCCTGATCAGTGTTATTTAGCTTCAGGATTAACTTCATTTGTCCTTTAGAAAAGGTGTTTCCTGTACATGTTTATTCCCTCTTCTCACGTATGGATAGATGAGAAGTGTAATATTGGTTACACAAAATTTTCCTTTGTAATTGTATATAACTGTAAATTGAATACTTTCAAAGCTGCTAAGGCTAGCTTTCTTCTTCCCTTCCAAATTTTGGTTTCTCTCCTGACATATTTTCCCTACATTCTGAGAATACATTGAATATTTATATCTTTATTACATTATCTATTATTTCAGTTAGACAGAAGTTTTGAAGTTCCAAAATCTGACCAGAATGAAGAACATAGGGAAGATGGGAATTCACTACTTGCAGAGGTTGAATGCGGCAAATGTTCCAAAAGACTTGATAGAGAAAGGGCAGAATCGGGTTATAGAGGCATCCCTTACACTTATTCGTGAGAGGGCAAAACTCAGGGTATAACTTAATTATATTTACTGTCTTGCCCCATGTTTGACATTATCTGGTTCTCTAACCAATTAGAATAAATGAAATTTTGGTTCAGAGATGTCTCTGAATTTTGATTATGGATTCCATTTATTATAGTGCCAGAATTTTCGGCACTAGATGTTCTGAAATGACAAATTAGCCTCCGTATGGGATTATAAATCAAAAGAAATGAGTGGCAGATACGTGATTAATACTTGGGGTCCATTGAAATATGATGCTGAAAATGAAGATTGACCAATTTATAAATTTTCCAAACGGAGTCTTACTCAAGGCTTTACTTGACAAATGAGTGGAGCCAATGGCAACAACTGGACTACTATGTTTCTGGAGTCTGGACACCTTAAAAAGTTGTATTGTTTATGTCCTTGCGAATGCATATGCACATTTGAGAATTACATATTCTACATGACGTAATTAGAAGTAGACATGGTTGGTCTTCTTATAGTTCTAGTTTGTAAATTTTCTTGTTTTGAAGAGAATAAGTTCATTTGTTGAGTGGGTCACGACTTCGTTCATATCGAATAGCAGAGACAGATGTTTTGTGTAAATGCCAGTAGACAGATGTCTTTTCATTCTTGTGGTCAGTGTTGTCCTCTCTACACAATTTTTCTGCTTCGTTTGTTCTGTCTCAACTACCCATTCTACATTTGCACACTTTTTTTTCTTTGCTCCTACTCTTGAGTTATGTCTTGGTATGAGAAGCACTTCTTACAATCAACAAATCTCTCCCACCCATCTCAAAATATACAAGTAATTGGATTGAGGAAAAATTATTGTTCTGCAACAGTGTAAAACATAGACCGATACTACACTGATTTTTTTTTTATCTTCAGTAAGAGTTACATACACCTTAGCTTTACAAGGAAAACCCCATCTTTTCCTTCGAATCAGTTACGATGAGATAATTAAATAAATATAGGTAAGATGACACAAAGGCATATGGATTGGACTAATTTTAGGATGCTAATGCTGTTATGATATCATGAAATGACTGGTGTTTTGCCTAAAGCTCCTCCTGGTGCTGATTGGTGTAGTTACATGCATGAAATTTTATTATGCTTCCCTTTCCGAAATGAGATTAATGATTACATAATATTTTCGATAAATATTTATCTCACAATGGGATTTTTCTTTGTAAATTTGTTTTTTATTGTTGTTACTATTATCATAATATTATCTGAGTTATTTTTAGCCCCCGTTTGGTGCACATTTTGAAGATAAGAATGCATTTTTACTGTAGTGTGATGGGAAATATGTGGTTGAAAAAGAAGGAAAAATTATTGATGTGATGGAAAACATTATTTTATTGAAAAATGTGTGGTTGAAAATGAGTAGACGAATGAGAATGAAAAAAATAATGTGAACCAAACAGGGTCTTAATACTACTTTTTCTCTTTCAAAGGGGGAACTTCTGCGAGCTCTAGGAGGTGTTGTAGCTTCAACATCTTTACTTGGAGTTCCTCTAGGACATAACTCTTCATTTCTCCAGGGGCCAGCATTTGCACCCCCTCGTATAAGAGAGGCTATTTGGTGTGGCAGCACAAATTCCACAACAGAAGAAGGTAAATATTCATACAATTTTAAACAAGCTATATCAGCATTAAATTTTCTGTTAGCCCAAAATAATATTTTACACCAGATGGCTAGTTGTTCTATGATGGGTAATGCTGTTTCGGCACTGTAAAATGATTAAATCTTGCCCATCTATCATTTTACTGTGACATAGATGTCTAAATTTTAAAGGAAGAATGAAACTTCTAAGACTGGGGGAAATATATTTATTGTGTTTTTTTTCTCTTTCACAATTCGCTCAGACATGCAAAGAGTGAGGTGGAAGATTTTTTCCACTTGGTGGGTGGGGTTATGCATCATCCATTAGGCCAGAAAATACAATTTTTTATAACAAGCTTTCACTTTTTATTGCTCTATACTCCGGCCGAGAATGTTGGATTTAGTTTCCAATGCATGGTTCTCAATTCAGATATATTTATTTTCAAGTTCTTACGGAACTTATACGTAAAACTTTTCCAATTTCTTTATAGCCTTGCCGTTGCATACTATTCTCCATTGGTCAATTTATTTGTGAACAAAACTGTTGGCTCTATGAATGAAGTTTCCTTGTTTCTTAGACTATATCAGATTTTTATGTATTTTCTAGAATTAATATTCTGCTATATGTCAAATGCGATGCTCCCTCCATCTTCTGCTTCTTTTATCAAAGAATCACATGTAATTTTCTTATCATATTTCCTCTGGTGGCCAAACTTTCAGGAAATGAGTTATCTTAATTTTATCTATTAGATAAAAAAATCAGTTAGATCCATTGGATGCTCGTGGGTGGCTGGACAGAAATTTCAAATTTATATGCTGCATCTGAAATTGTATGTAGCACCCGTCAAACTTTAGCAGCATAAATTTTCATCCATGAACAGCCTGTGAAACCTGTAATGAACTTGACAACATTTCCAGTGGTCTGCTTTTTGTCATGCCTGATTGCCCATCTATGTATGAATATGACAATGTTTCTCCTGCAAATGGGTTTAGCAGCATTGCTGTTCAGTTGTGGAACTCTATGCTATAAAATTTATCAACAAACTCTCCTAATGTTTTGCTATTTGTCACTGTGGAAATGTACATCATCTATTAAGTATCACTAGCTTGCTTTCTTCATTTTCCATTTTTAAATATATTTGTCAATATAATTTTTCTTCTGTAACAAGATGCTGGGGTATGTAGGCAAGGAGCTAAATGACCCACGGGTCTTGACTGATGTTGGTGATGTGCCAGTCCAGGAGTTACGAGATTGTGGTGTAGATGATGATAGACTGATGAGCATCATAACTGAATCTGTGAAGCTAGTCATGGGAGAAGTAAGCTTTCCTTTCCAAAGATTTCTACACGATAAAGAATGTTCTCTTCCATTAAAGGCCAAGAGCCTTGGCTTTACTTTTTGTACATTTTATTTCTACATTCCGTACATTGCTTTAAACAGTATTGATTATTTATTTAATGACTCTTCAGGATCCATTACGCCCTTTAGTGTTAGGGGGTGACCACTCCATTTCATTTCCAGTGGTGAGAGCAGTATCTGAGAAGCTTGGGGGACCTGTCGATATTCTTCACCTGGATGCTCATCCTGATATTTATCATGCCTTTGAGGGAAACAAATATTCTCATGCATCTTCTTTTGCACGAATTATGGAGGGTGGTTATGCTCGTCGACTTTTGCAGGTAATCTGAATTTTTGAATCGCTGTCTTATATATGTGATGTTATATTTAGAGTATGTTTGGCTAAATTTAAAATCCAATTAAAATTGAAAATATAGTCGTTATTGGGTCTCACTCGTCTAATAAAAGTCAACAATAACGGCTAATTTTTCAATTTTAATCCGATTTTAATCTCTACCGAACACGCCCTTAATATCTACATCAAAATTAAAATTTGAATTTATTCAGACCAAATTTATGGTTTCTTTTAACAGGTTTTTTGGGTAACACTAGTCTTACCAATAAAAGTTGTACAGAAATATAGCAGTTGAAATTTCGGATCAACTGGTTTTGCCTATTCATACTGTAGACTTCGAGGTTTATTATCAATTAATGCATGCCCTGAAATATCAGATGATGTAGCCTGGAACTCCTTTTCATAATCATATTTTAAATGTTGAAAGTTGGATAATTTCTGCTCTTTAGGAGAAGGGAAATTAGTAAATACAAATTGCTGTACTGCTGCAGGTGGGAATCAGATCAATTACAAAGGAAGGCCGTGAACAAGCGAAAAGGTTTGGTGTGGAGCAATATGAAATGCGCACATTTTCAAGGGATCGCCAATTGTTGGAGAATCTGGTGACTATATTGCTTCTGCTTTTGAATTTTCATTTCTTAGTCATTTCCTTGTTGTTTCACTTCTTTCACAATGATCCTTTTTTTATGCTTTTCTTGATTTTTCACTTGTTGTTTTATAAAGAATATTTTATGGGCAGAAATTCATTGTGGTATGACTTAATCAGACATCACACGTGAATTATATGTTGGCATAATATTTAAAGTGGCACAGAATGATGAGCCATGAAATATGTTGAGCCAAGGTTCGTACTGTATAGTAGTCAAAACATGTGTATATTTGAGGTGAAAGAATGGATTACTCAGTGCTCACCGTCAGTCTTACCAATGGCCTTTTTAGACTTGATCTATCCTAGAAAAATACTGGTTGGGTTCACTAATCGGTAATTGATTTGCAAAGATGGTTCCAGGAGAAAAGGAGTTAGACAGATTTAGAAGATTACATGGTCTGTATATCCTATTGCTTTTCAAGATTAGACTCCTGTTGCATCTCATGCTGTCGTTTGTTAGTTGTAGAGAGGTAAGAAACCTTTTTATGCTTTTCCATCCATTGGCTCAACCAGTAACAGATGGCGAAAACTAAAAAATCCACGGTTTCCAATTCCCGGTAAAACCCTATTTCGCCCAAGTTGTTTCTGAACCAGAAAAAGGAAGCCTTTTTTTCGCACAGCTTGTTCGTGCAGGTCCTTCTTTTGTATATTGTATTTGGCTGAAGAACTGAGTAACATTTCTGGTATAATTTTGTTTACTAATTTTATCATCCTGTACCTATGGATGCCTTGGATATCTTGCAAAAGTTCTTTCAAATTTTGTTCTGTAATTGGTTCATTTTGTTGGCAGAAACTTGGTGAAGGCGTGAAGGGTGTGTACATTTCAGTAGACGTGGACTGTCTGGATCCGGCATTTGCCCCCGGCGTTTCTCACATTGAGCCAGGGGGTCTCTCTTTTCGTGACGTTTGCAACATACTTCACAACCTTAAAGGTGATGTTGTAGCTGCAGATGTTGTTGAATTCAACCCGCAACGTGATACTGTTGATGGAATGACTGCCATGGTTGCTGCCAAGCTCGTAAGAGAATTGACTGCGAAGATATCAAAATAACCAGACAGAATCAGCACAAGCGCGAACTTCAAGTTACTGTTTACCACACGTGATGTAACGTGGATTTGCTTGTACTTGTGGAGCAAAAAACATGTGTTTCTCTCTTTTGTTGCAAAATTGAAGCTCGGGAAGTAGTGAAATCCGGCTTCTCCTGGATCCGTCGGTTCATGTGCAAGACTCCATTGCTAAGATTGAACGGATAATAAGAGAGAGATGTAATAAAGTTTGTCAATTATCATATCAAATTCAACGAAGATTTCATTCTAAAGTCAGTTCTATCGACTGAAACACGGAGACAAACCGGCTCATACTGTTTTACCATTTCGTAATTATTCCTTTCTCATATATTCAAAATGGCTTGGAAGAGGGTACTTCAAAAATATCAAGCTCTTGTTTGGTTTAGATAAAAAATAGATTTAATAAAAGTCGGTGGAATGTGGTTTAAAAGTTTTAAGTTCCATTTCACGTGTAGTTGAAATTAAGGATAAAATTCACGAGTCAGGCATTGAGTATGTAACAATTCAATTTTCAAGTTTTAAGTTTCAAAATTCAAAACTCAGTATTAATTAATTAATTATATTTTATTAATTAAATATATTTAAGTTCACAATTATACAATTAATCATCACGTGCGTTTATAGGTCACAACGACATATTATCAAATTAATTGGTCACCGATTTTTTCATGGCCACAATCAAAAAATTTGATAGGTCACAATTTATTTCGCTCGGTCACAAATAAAAAAAAATTATATGTTATAATTTATTTGTTGGTTACAAATTTTCAAATTAGTTGGTCACTGATTATTTTTCAATTACAAATTATTGAATTTTTAGGTTACAATTAAATATTAGATCATGTATTAACCAAATAGTTGGTTACATACCACGCCCACTTGTGACCATCCGCCACCTAGCCATCGTTGCCACCACACCATCACCACCAACAACAAAATCGTCATTGTCATCGCCGCCACCAAATCAATTGCCAACAAAAACCATCCCAATATCAAACACATGAAAACCACCACTATTCCAAAAATCAACAAACCAAAAACACCACAAAATGCTGCAACTACCACCATCATCATTCTCTAGCGACAGCATTCAAAACTCTATCGAAGGCAGTGTAATCTCAACATCGATGGTACATATCGAAGAGAAGGTGTAGCCGCGCAACATCATTATTGATCTCAGACGCTGGGGTTGTAGCTTCCTTACTTTCAGTGAGACGGTATTGCAAATTTTCTTCAGCAGGTGGTGGTACAATCTTCAGTGACGGCGGCACTCAAATCAGACCTCTAGCAATCTGGCATTTGATAGTGGTTTCAGCCTGAGCGAGCCTTTAGTAGTTACAACTCTAAGGTGAGCGACCTTTGTTGTGAGTTCTACTGTGGTCTCCAACGTGGGTGCGACGATGTCAGAGGTGTTGGTTAGGAGGACAGAGTGAGAAGAGAGAAGATGAAGATAAATGAACTTTAGGATTTCGCATTAAATTGAATTGGGATGGGATGGGACATTATTATTAATATTAATAGTTAAATTAAAATTTAATTTACGATTAAATAAACTTATTATCTGATTTTTAAACTATGATATTGAAAAACATAGTCTATTGTAATTTTTACTAAAATTAATTATTGACTTTAACTAAAATTTTAATTAATTTTTTAGTTGAATTAAACCATGGCTAAACTACATAAACAATTTTAAAAAGGAAAAATTAAATGATGACACATTATTTTAAAAAATTAGGTAGACTCCAATACTCTGACCCAAGTTTGTTTCATGATGTCATACTTGCCCCCGAATTTTAGAAAACATTGCATTTACACCCTTCTGGTAAAGAACCTCGTAAAGCCTTGGGGCATACAGAAACTCTATCTCAATGGCGTCTTTAGCTCCCACTCTGTCCTCCACAATTTCCCGCCTAACCCATCTTCACAAACCCTCGCTTCAGTCTGCAATCACAACTCTAAAAAATTTCCAATTTAAGTATAAATTAAGCAAGCCCACACGGCCTTTTCTCAACTCCTCACCCAGTCCTCTTTCTGCCCATTTTTCTTCTGCTCAAATGAAAAGCACTATAGGCTCAGATGATGATCTTGTTGTTCTGGGTATTGAAACTAGTTGTGATGACACCGCTGCAGCCGTAGTAAGTCTTGTGTTTTTTTGGGTTTGGTGGGTTTTCTTTCACAGTGTGTTCTTTTTTATTGTACTTTGTGTTATTAACGATTAAAGTTTGATTCTTTTGAATGCAACTATGTTTGATTTACCAGAACGGTAAGAAATTGTAAGTTCGCCATTAATTAAGCAAACCCATATGTCATTTTCTCAATACTTCACCCAATTCTCTCTGCCCATTTTCTTCTCCCGCCAATGCACAAATGCAGAGCCTGTCAGGCTCACATGTTTATCTAGTTTTGTTCTGGGCATTGAAACTAGCTGCGAGACACTTCTGTTTGCTGTAGTAAGTTTTTTGTTTGTGCTTGCTTATTTACAGGTTGGTGGGTTTTCTTGTACTGTATTGTTCTTTTGTGGGTCTTGGTTATTTTTGTTTCATTGATGATGAAATTTTGGTTCTCTTGACTGCATTTGTGTTTGATTTACAGGTCCGAAGCAATGGTGAAATTCTTAGTCAAGTTGTTTCTTCTCAGGTATTGTATACTGTGTATTGATTGCACATGTTTGATGTATGGTCCAAAACAATGGTGAAATTCTAGTCAAGTTGTTTCTTATCAGGCATTGTATACTCTGTAATGATTGCATATGTTTGCTGTATGTGTGTTGGGGAGGGGGGGATTCTCTTTTGGATAGAAGAAGTGGGAATTTAGGACATTGTTGGTGTTGTATTTCTTTTTTACTTTTTACAGTTAAATCTGATTTATCATTTTTTTTGACCTTTTCTTATGATTTTGACTGTAATTACTTAACCATTGTGATTCTTGTTTGAGTATTCTTATTTTATATATTTAACTGCTATTCTTCATGATTAAGTTCTCTTAATGATATTCCATAGATTTTAAAATGTCACGTTATTTGTACTGCTTCAACATCTGAAACATTAGCCTCAAAACTGAAGTTTTCAGAGTTGTTTGATTCTGTATGGTGTAGTAATGATTGGGTATATCACTTAACCAAGTCGGATAATATTGCCTAAATATTACATTTCTTTACTTGATTGGGATGTTATCACATTCTTGATTACCAGTTTTTATCACCATCACCTTCTTAGATATAATTAGTGGCATAACCTCTCCTTCCTGGAGCCTGGAACAAAGAAGAAGTAAGAAATGGTTGAAAATGTTGTAAATATTGAGAAAAAGGCAAATTATATTCCTTGTTCCTTTTCCGTTTGTATAAGATGGAAATCTATGGGGCATATGCTGCATCAGAGAGCAAATACTTCTTGGATAATACCATCTACAAGTTTCTTTACTAGCTGCAAGTACATTCTACAAAACCCCAAATTGAGTATCCCAAACAGGATGTGAGTATTAGAAGTTGAGGCTAAAGTGAAACTACACTTGTGATGAATGGATTAGATTGTAATATAGGCAAATAAATGAACTTTGGGTATTTGGGAAGAAGATGAAAGAGGTCATTACAATCATGATTGCTTACTAACAATATGTGATTTGGTTATACCAAGACACCTTGGAAGGAAGTACATTTTAGTCGCAGGAATGGAGTGCGGACCATGAGTTGCTCTAATCTTAAACAATTAATAATAATCTCCAATCTAAATAATTTGGCTTCTTTTCAGCAACCTGATTACATGCAGAATTTGACCTTTGATACCCTTGTTGAGTTGTCTTGGACATTAATTTTTTTTTTTAAAGTTTTTGCATTTACCATAGTAAAATTAATTTGTACTTTTTCTGAATCATTTTAGGTTTCATATATTTTGATATTGTAATGCCAAGTTGTTTAGATTATTTTCTGTCATGAAACATCTTAGAAACAATTGTGCTTTTGCAATCTATCTGGGAGTCGCCATTTACACTAGGTAGATAGTTATAATTTACTTCTTTTACACTTCATCAGGCCGATCTTCTGGTCCAATATGGAGGAGTTGCTCCAAAAATGGCTGAAGAAGCTCATTCAAAAGTGATTGATCAGGTATTTCCTTGGATTAAGTACTTATCTTCCACATATTGTGTTGCTCATTAACTACTTGTACCATTCACAGAACTTTTGACCATATCAGGTCTTCATCCAACAATGCATTTAATGAGAGAATTATTTCTTTTATTTATTTATTTTTAATAAAAGTTAAAACATAGTCTTCCTATACATCCACTTGAATAATCGAGTTGTAAAATCTGATTCAGAAATAACCCTTTTCTTCTTTCTTATATTTATAATATGTACATAAATTCTTTGCTGACTTTCTGCTTTGTTCATACCACATGCTTGGCCCACTATGCAGTTCTATTTCCACACTTGTCAATTCATGTAACAGAAAATCTTGCATCCTAGACATTACTGTGAATCATGAATGCATTCCTCGTTTTGTGGTTGACATTTTTTAAGTACTTCTTCACTGATTCTGGTCTTCTAATTTAGTTTCTGTAAGTATCTCAACTTCCAATTCTATGCTAATGCATCACACTTCAATTCTGTGATCATCTATTTCTTTCTTTAGGTGTGTATATAATATAATAACATGATTCACTTATGGATGCCTGTTTATCGTTGACTTTTATGCTTTACATGATGCACATTTCATATACTCAGTTTTAGTACCGCTATTCTGGTTCTGCCTGTGATCTGACTGTGCTTTCTGATTCCAGGTAGTGCAAGAAGCTCTTGATAAAGCTAACCTATCTGAAAGCGATCTTTCTGCAGTTGCTGTCACTATTGGTCCTGGCTTGAGCCTTTGTTTACGTGGTAATTTGTCGTTGGATTATTCTCTTCTCGTTTTGTCTTCCTTTTCTGTTTTTATTTTCCACACTTTTTGGCTCTGTTCTTGGTCCTTTCTTCTATGGCTCAATGTAGCTATGGTAAATGATTGCTCCACAATTAGTTGAGTACACAGTTAGAAATGCAATCATATCATTCTATTTTTGGGTTATTTTTCCCTATTTGCTAAAGTTCTGAAATATAGTCCTTTATGGCATCACCGTATTCTTGAATCCATGCAGTTGGTGTGAAAAAAGCTCGGAAGCTTGCTGGTACTTATGCTTTACCCATTGTTGGTGTCCATCACATGGAAGCCCATGCTTTAGTGGCCAGGTAATTATGTGAATTTCATGAAATTTTTGCATTTATGAGCTGAAACAATATGAATAATATGATTGGTCAGCTAATGTGATTTATTACTTTCTGGTGTAATTTTGGTTGTCTTAAACAAGGTGCTTTAACTTAGGTGGTGTTTATTTAGGGTGTAAACCTGATTAATAGGTATTAATACAAACCAGCTACATGTAATCCATGTTTGAGAAGCTTAGATTGAAAAAAGTTCTCATGGAGGTGATTCAACTACAGGCGTAATAACAATCTTTAATTCATTACTTTTGAATATGTGCAACATGATGTTCTGTTAAGTACAGAACCATCCAAAGAAGACCATTGGTGGTGTAGTGTGAATTCTTAAACATCTCTACTTTTTGTTAAAGAAAAGAAAACCGAGAAAAGGAAAACAGTTGCTGGTTTTCATATATACGTGGGCTTTTGACACATTGCATGCCTACCATGACTTGACACTTTGCTTTCCTTTAGGTTAGTGCAGCGAGAGTTGCAGTTTCCGTTTTTGGTTTTGCTTATTTCAGGTATGGCTATTACTGCCAAAATTATTTCCTTTTATTTAAAGTTAAATTATATTATTTGCATTATTTAATGTTGGAGATATATATAGAGTTTCAGTAAGTGATTATGATTATCATCATAAGCCTGCACAACGACCGGGACACTGTAATTTTAGACTTATGAGAGGCTAAAATACTTGCAGTTTTATGTGTAGAAAGAACCCCGTATCTGGTCTTCCAAGGACGAGGATAGTTTGAACTTTGAAGCCTGCAATCAAACTTTGTTAACTTATGAGAGGCTAAAATACTTCTTTACAGTTTTATGTATAGAAAGATTCACAATGTCTAGTTTTTCGATGACAGAGATAGTTACAAGACCAGAGGAAACTTTGGTCGTTATAGTTAATTTCTTAACCTGCAATGTTCTCTGGAAAGAGAAGCTTTACAGGATTTTGTCATTTAGAAAGACTTGGCTTTTCAATAACTCATATCTGTTCATGAAGCTTACTTGATTTGTTTTCCACTTGTGTTTCTAGGAGGCCACAATCTTCTGATTCTTGCACGCGATCTTGGCAATTATGTACAACTTGGGACCACAATAGATGATGCAATTGGTGAGGCTTATGACAAGACAGCAAAGTGGCTTGGTCTTGATTTGAGGAAGAGTGGGGGCCCAGCTGTAGAGGAGCTAGCTCGAGAAGGTGATGCAGACTCCATCAAATTTAAGGCAGGCTACCTCTTAACATCCATGTGATGTTTCTCATTTTATTGTTTTGAATGGTCAGTTATGAATTCAATATTGACATGGACCTCAAGGTTGACGTATATGGTTCCATAGGTCCCCATGAAGCAACATAAAGACTGCAACTTTTCATATGCAGGCCTGAAGACTCAAGTCAGGTTGGCAGTTGAATCTGGAAGTATGTAAGTGTCTCGTTCACAAAATCAATAGTTACCTCCATGATTTACCTCCTGCTCAACTTTTCTGGCTACTCTTCTTTTTTTACTCTTAAAAAATATGTACATTACTATCTTTGCTGCTTTTAGTTTTTATATGTAACTACTATGGTGTTGCTAACGTCCTGCTTCTGTGAGGAAATTGGTAATAGATCAATTGATACTGTGAACTTCATTCATGCTTAGTGGTACGTGATTGGTTTTAGTGACAGAGAAGAGATGTATTCGTTTATGATTTTCGTGTCAATAGTGTCGTCGGTAAAATGAGATCGAAACTCTATCTATTTGTGGATGATGGTACTCTGGATTGATTGCCCTGTGTAAATGGGAACGGGAAAATTATTGTTTGATAGTTTTCCTCCAACTATATAAAGCTATAACGTTTAAATTTCTCAAGCATCTATTAATACCATGCTCCAGCATTGTATTATCTGCTCCAAATCTGCTGCTTCTACCTTGCTTTGACAGGATGAAAGCTGATGGTATTACATTTTTAATCATTATGTTAGATGTAGGGAGTTTTGGCTCCCGTATTATTAAAATATGCATCGGATGATAATCAAATTTATTCTAAATTTTCTTTTATCACTTCGTAGTTGATTATGTTTTCTCAATATACTTGTTTCTACATGTTTAGTTGGCTAAATTGCACAGTTGATGGGTAGTGCCTACTGTGGTATTATGGATAGGACTATGCTGTTCATACAGAAATCAGCCTGTGCCGAAAGCTACAAAGCATGTTGGACCCACCATCACATGGTTTTTTACCTTTCGTAGCATTCTGATTTCAGCAGCCGCAGCATTTTCCTTGCAGTTACAATGAAGCAATTTCTCATTTTAGAAATATGGTATGGTAAGTGTTGTCTACCTCCCTCAGTTGACATATCTATAGATGTGTGCAGCAATCCTGGAATCCCAGTTTCTTCAGCTACTAGTGAAGACAGAAAGGCAAGGGCTAATATTGCTGCCTCTTTCCAGGTAATTACTTCTGGTGATTTGGTTCTTGTTGGTAAGTATCTGCCTTGTGGGTATAGTAACAGCAAACCACTTAATGTATCCAATTTTCCTCAATTTTCACTTTGTTCATCTACAAAAACGTGTCTTGCAGCGAGTTGCAGTATTGCATTTAGAGGAAAAGTGTGAAAGGGCAATTGAGTGGGCGTCAAAGATTGAGCCTTCAATAAAACATTTGGTGTGTGAAATGCATTTTCTCTTGTGGTTTGTTATTGTTTAAAGTCCTCCATGGATATGGTGTTTCATAAAACCAACTTTTGTTGTCTTTGTCAGGTTGTTTCTGGAGGTGTTGCATCTAACCAGTTTGTCAGGGCTCGGCTTAATCAAATTGTGGAGAAAAATTGCCTGCAACTTGTTTGCCCTCCCCCCAAGCTTTGTACTGACAATGGTGAGATGATTCTTTTTCATGTTTGTCAAGTCGTACACAATGAAGGTAGTGGAAACGTAGTCCCACGTGAGTCATGACTAAAAGTTAATACTTGATTTACAAAATTCAAAACCTTAGCCCTTGTTTGGGACACATTAAAATTTTCATTCTCATTCTTCAACTCATTTTTATCCACACATTCTTCATTAAAATAATATTTTCCATCACATCAATAACTTTTCCTTCTTTTTCAATCACATTCTCCATCAATCTACTATTTCAAAATACATTCTTCCAAAATAATATCTATCAAACACACCATTTATCCAAAATAATATTCATCAAACAGACCCTTAAAGTTGGAATAATCCACTGCACAAAGGAGATGAGTTGGATACTTGGTTCCTGCAAAAGCTCTCTTTAAACATAAATGTAAATTTCAGCGTTTTACTGTAATTGGTTGCTTGGCTTCAGCTCATTAACATGAACTTTGAGTTGGAACTAATGTTCCGCATCATACTTTTACTGTTGTTGTTATCAAACTCCAGTTCTTCAAATTATTGCTGATAATAGTCTTACTGTTGTTGATAATGACTTAGGCTCAGTTTGGACACCTTTATGTTGCACAAAGCATTAGGGAAGAGTCGTCCTAATCATTTCTTTGGGGACTTTGGTTGGAAAATGTATACATACATTTGGGACTACTGAAATATTTTCTTAAAAATATGATGTTTATCTGATTTGAAATATTTGTCTTTGCCGTTTTATGGTAGGCGTAATGGTTGCTTGGACTGGCATTGAGCATTTCCGCATGGGAAGATTTGATCCTCCACCACCCTCCGATGAACCTGAAGATGCTGTGGTCTCTCTCTCTCTCTCTCTCTCTCTCAGTCTAATCATGTGTTACTGTTGTTAGTTTGCTAAAGAAATGACAGAATTAAGTTCGTGTTTGGCCTTGCTTAAAAGCCAAAGCCGAAAAAAAGTCGTCTTTTTTCTGGATTTTAAGCAAGGACAGATGTACTTTAGGAGAAATGATAGAATTTGATTCAGAATAGGTTTTGATTAGTTCTGATTAACTAGGAGCTTATTCTAAGTAGTGATGAATGACTATAAAAGGGAAAAATAAGACCTCAATTTAATAGACTGTTTTGAATTGATTGAATAATTGAAATTTTGAAATTTTCCTCTCCCAAATTCTCTTCTCTCTTCTTGCTTTCTCCTCCTTTATTTCTCTCGTATTCCATCTCTTTCGCATTCTCTGTATAAGGATGTTTTTGTCTTAAACAAGAACAAAGGTGTGGTCTAACCACACGCTTAAAAGATGCATAATTTACCATGGATGTCATCTTTCTTTACTATTGTTTGATACCGTGTGATTTTATATATCTAAAATATATGGTATTGACTCAGTTTTTTGATGAATCAGCTTGATTTGCGGCCAAGGTGGCCACTGGGCGAGGAATACGCAGAAGGAAGAAGTGATGCCCGCTCAATCAGAAGGGCAAGAATTCATCCATCTCTTACCTCTCTCATTCAAGCATCAATGCTGCAGCAGTCGTAGCCTGTTCTTGATGGATCAGGCTTTCCTGTGATGAACATATACGAGGCCTTAGGAAAGATCACAAGCTCCCCTCTTTTAACTTAATCTACATTGGTGGTGTCGTTTTTTGGAAGTCTGCAAATGATTTTGCCTCAGAATAGGTAGCTCAATCCTTGGTATAGACTGTCGGGGTGCGGTGTGATGTACCATTCAACATTTTTTTACATTATCAAACCTGACAGGTTTGTGTTACTTCCTGAGTTTTTAAAATCATTCTGAATAAGGAGGGAACTGTTGACATATTTGTACAGTTTGAATAATTTCTTTACTGGAATGACAATGATAAATGTGCATATAGTGGCAGTTTACTCTTCTATCTGCTGGGCGTGGCTCGACATGAGTCTGGCCCAGCACTGTTCTTGCCGTCCTTTGTATAATATTTTGAGGAAATTAGGCTCAGTACGGCCCAATAATTTAAAAAATAGATTAACACACTTAATTAATTATTAATGTTTTCATTAATTTTTTAGTAACGTACACTATACGTCCAAAACAAATTACATACAACCCCAACCAAGCCCTAACCCACTTATAAATCTATCATCAACTTTGGCCGCATTAAATCCTCTCAGACTCAAGTGACTCCATCTATCTCATACCCATGGATCAAGAAGGCGATAGAAGTGTTCATGAAACGAAGGGGATGAAGGGGAAGTGTACTACAATTGACGGATGTTCAATGAAGAAGAGAAATCTTGCTTCATAGGCTTACAAACCTAATATTAAGCTCAATTTTACCGGTTGTAAATTTATATATGTCTTTAATTAAGTTCATTTGTTATTTTCTTGCTTGGTTGCTGGCTTACTAGTAGCGTGCTTCCTTTGGAATTTTGAACTCGTAGTAGTTTTGAAAGCCAAATGCTCAGATCTTTTCGATCTTTTCTTGATGTAATCGTGTTAGGTTTTAGTTGATTTTGTAATTGGCTAATTTTGTGAACAAAATGACTTAATTTGATAGAGTGTCAAAGTTCAATGAGTAATGTGCAATTTGTTTAAAAGTTAATTAAATAGGTCTAGGTTTCGAGTTTGGAACAAGAAGGAAAACTGCATGAATTTTCGCTAGACTGTCGCCAAGGGTTGGCTCGAGCTACAAATACAAAAACTGCTTCGCGGACGTCGTCCCTCCTTCGCTCGAGCAAAGAACCGTTGCTCGACGTCGCGACTCTTTGCTCAAGCGATAGCTTTATATGGAAAATTTTATTTTCCAGTTTTAAAGGCTTTTGTCTCGGCCCATTGATTTCTTGACCTATCTATTTATACCAGAACACGTACAGAATGTAAATGTGAAGGTTGTTAATTGAGAGATCTTATCATTTCATCATTCAACCTTCATCTTGTGTGAGCGTTTGGTCAGAAAAACATCAGATCTAATATCCAAACACCAAAAAGCCAAACTTCCTATATATCTGTTAGAGGTGCTGATGATCGAGGAAGGCGACTGGAGTTTTAGTCTGTGAAGAACAGATTGTTTTTCGTGATCCACGGGAGATAGACGAATTTACAAGGCTTGGAGTGCTGCAGGGTAGTAGATTCTACGGAGAGTTTTGGCAACAGCAGCTGAGGATTGGTGCATGAGAGCACGGGATCCACGGAGAGCTGTGAGAAGTGCAGTTGGGTGATCAGATAGTACAGGTCGTATAGTTTGGTAGACTGTAAATTGTTAAATTCATTTATAATGGGTAAAGTGCCCGGAGTTTTTTCTAATTGGGTTTCTCCGTGATCATTCTGGTATTTGATTTACTACTTTATGGTACAAATGAATGATTCGTGGTATTTAAACTTAGGATTAAACTGATTGTATGATTAATCATCTAGAGATAATTAATTGGTGATTTGTTGCTAATTAGTTAATAAGGTTTTAATTCCGCATATTACACTTATTCACCCCCCTCTAGGTGAGTAAATAAGGCAGGACCCCTATCCCCCCCCCCCCCCCCCCCCCCCTCTAGGTGTTATTAGGATCGAATTTGCGTTTCTCAAATTACCGTATCATTTTCTACTTCGTGTAATTTTTCAAGTTAGTCTTGTTTAGCATTGAAAATATTGTCATCCATTGTTTGTCATAAGATGTCAATTGGAATAGTTCACATTTATAGGGATGCAATAAAGAGCTATGTGAAGTAGAAATGGGTTTTGTGGTTTGGATCTCGGGAATTGAATCTTAGGGTGTTTTTGAAGATTAATTTGTATGTTATATTGTTCGCTCGCGTTGTTTTTAAATTCTTCTTCCTGCGCGGGATTTTATGTATTGCTATTTCTATGATTTTCGTTGAAAAAACGTTCAAAGTGTGTAGGAACAGAAATATCAAAAAAATTGTGTTACTCATCTTTCTACTATGGAAAAATATTTGATTTGACGTTATCTCCGTTAAAAGTGCATTTTCTTGCTAAATATTCTGCCCTTTCTTTTTGAATTTCTTTCGTTTATGGTGTAATTTGACTATGTGTAATTACTTGGAAGAAATGTGATCAGTCCATTAGTAAAGACGAAGCCTAGAATATGCTGTGAAATCTCATACAAACGTCGTTATAACTATTTTGTTTATAAATTTGTAGTGATGTGAAATTATAACTAATTTAACTTTATTTTGGACTAAATGTTCTTTTACTCTACTAGTTCCATTGAGTCCTAGTAGAAACGTTTGATAGTTTTAATCATAAATAGTTAGGCAATTTTTTTATTTTTATTTTTTTGTCAATTTATTCTTGTTAAATATATTGTTACATTCTCGAAAATGGCGTTAGAGGTTTTCGTTATGTTGAAGGCCACGAACTTGATAACTGATGTTTTTAATATGCTTTTGGAAAAATTGTAGTATACAATTATTTAAAGAGATCTTGAATTATAATTGGTGTTCAAAATTATTTGTCACTTTTTTGAATTTTTATCACTAAATATTTTCTAAATCCCAATTTATATGCTAATTAATTGAAGTAAAATATAATCACAAAGAGACAATATGTAGAAGAAAATCAACCATCAACTTTATCCACCCAAGGTTTTGATGATATCGATTAATGCTTTTTTGACTGTCATTTTTTTGAATTTTTGTCACTTTTTTTAGTTTTTGTTACTTTTTTAAATTTGTCACCTTTTGAATTTATGTCATTTTTTAGTGTTTATTACTTTTTTGAGTGACAAACATTTAATAAAAAATGTTTTAATTGGTGTTTAGTTACTTTTTTTAAATTTTTTCACTTTCTAAACATTTGTCACTTTGAATTTCTGTCACTTTTTTTATTGATAAATATCACATTTTGATAAAAAGTGACACTTAATTTTAAGGGTATCTTAATGATACTTAATTTTACACGGTATTTTTTTTTATGATTTTTCGAAAAACTCCTAATTTTAAGACGAATATTTTCCTACGTAATGTCACTGTTTGAGCCAGAATCCTTGCTTTCTCAGTCACTTTTTGTAGTCTTGTGCAGAATCAATAACAACCCATGGTTCCAAAGTCTAATACGGCTCGACCACAAAATTGTTTGAAGGAAGTTTCGTGAAGGGTTAAATCACTTTGCCAGATGTCGAAGTTAGGTGACGGAAGGTGATTTGATAGAAAGATAATTGCGTTTTAAACCGTCCAACGATAAAATGACATATGGTATTATGTCAATTATTACGACAATGTAGCATGGTTTTTACTCGAATTATAATTTTAACGAATTAATTTTTTTTCTGGTATTAAACATGAGATAAAGTGGATATGATACGACAAATGGAGACCCCAGATTCTCAACAGCTCAAGAGAATATGCCAGCAGCCAATAATGAAACAAGATGCTATTTTGTCTGTGCTGTGGCATGTTAATTTCGGCTAAATTCATCCACAATTTTTTTTAGGTCTTCTTTGCTGGAAATTTAATTTTTAGAATTCATGGCGTTAGAAATTTAACAATCTAAATATGGAGTCCACTATATGAATCATTTTTCGTTTTATCACCATATACAAAAAAATACTCAATGAAATCACATATAATCAGTGTTCTAAAAGTGCGTCCAGACGCAAAGTTTGACCTTCTCGTTAGCCATGATTTTCACTTTTTTACACCTTAGTCGAAGTCTAGACCTGCTTACCCACATAAAAACTTAAAGCTTGACCTTATCGCCTAATCAATCTTTACGCTTTTACAGCACTATATAGAATATGACTATTTAACGCATTCAGATAAATGTAGCACCTCTTGAGAAGGCCTCTCATTAAAATGTAAAAGGAATAGTCATTTAACATTTAATAGTTACACCCTAAAGTTTGTCTGAGCCCAATTTTTTGGGAGAATAGATTTTGTAACAGTAACTTTTTGGATAACGTGTTATTAAAAAGTAGAAAAAATATTAATTTTACGTTTAAAATTTTTTTACTGGAAAATGTGAGGTTCAGAATGAGTTAGGGAAAAAATAAATTTGAGGAAAAATGAAAAATCAAACATGAATTTAGTGTTGTACGATATTATCCATCGAAGTGGATGAACAATAACACGTGTAATATAATAATTAAATTTCTAAGATTTTTCTATGATATCTCCTCCAAGAATTTGATGTACAATTTCGCTACATTCATATCACGACTGACAACTTTGTGTACACTATTTGACATGACATACAATTTTAGGATAATTCTTGATGTACATCACTATGTACATCAAGGTGTCCATAATGGACACCAGACGCACCCTCGTTAGTGGGGGAGCCAGTTCCACAGGCGCCCCCACCCATGGGAGCGGGCCGGGTGTCCATTATGGACACCCTGATGTATTCCTTGATGTACCACAAGAATGATCTACAATTTTATCATTGATTTAACAATACTTACTCAAATCAATGGTCTCGATTTCGACACTTCAAAGGGTGTCAAACTAGTTGTAGACCAACTTAATTCTTTGATGTATAGTAATATGGTCATTTCCCTTTCCTTGATCAAGATATAATTTTTATATAGTCTTCTATTCCCGTGAAAGTCATCTCTAAGATTACCGAAAGTATCCTTAGTTTTAGGTCAATCTTGAGCTGATAATTATGTTGGCTGCAACCTGCAGTTTTACCCAATTTTTGCTGCTTGATTTTGAACGCACGTAACTTTTGATCCTTATTTTGTATTCAATTTCAAATGAGTTAATTTCACAAACGGTCACTGAAGTTACGTCAAAATCACAAAACGGTCACTGAAGTTTAAAACTTGCATTAACGGTCACTGAAGTATCATCAAGTTTCAGTAATGGTCACTGAAGGGCCTTTTCATTTTAATTGGAACTTCATGGACCAAAATAATTGAAGTTTGAACTTTGAGGACCTAAATCGCAAATTTGACATTAAACCCCCAAAACCATAATCTTTCCCATTCTCTGTAAGTTAATTATTTCCTTTTGGATTTGCAGATTTTGCTTTTGGCGTGATTAAGGTTCTTCGTAACTTTAGACCGTTCTATCTTTTCATTGAATTCGAGTGATTCGGCTCTTATTGTAATTTGATTATTAATGCTTAATATGGGTTCAAATTCGGAGACCCTTGTTGAATCCTTTTGGTGAATTATTCAGTTTTTTTTAATAATTAAAACGAATACAGTTCAATCTCGTTTGGATTTCTTCCAACGGATTCGACATTTATATGCTTCGAGCAATGTGATTGATGAAAGTCTTAAGAAATAATGCTTATATCTTCGTAAGAGGAGTTTATTGCTTTTGAGGAGAAATGTTCAAGACTTAAATTTTTGCTTGCAGATTTAAATTTGTAGTAGGAGATTTAAATTTTTGATGTGGTCACCTCTTTTGCTGGCCTTGCCTTTACAAATAGCTTCATATCCACTCTCAGTCCCAAGAATGCCCAGTTTGTAAGGCACTCATTGAGGAGAAGAAGCTAGTCCCTTTATACGGCCGAGGAAAGAACTCCTCTGACCCTCGCTCTGAGTCATATCCTGGAATAGATATTCCACATGACAGCTCCTTCGCCAGATCCAAATGCTATTGCTTTGGCACAGCAAGGATTTGGAGTTATGGGAAGGTTTGGGCACCTCAGGGGGTTTGCAGTATCTATGGCTTCTGCAAGGTTCGGGAACTTCACATTATCTGCATCACTAGGGGGTTCTCTCGTTTTTCAACATTCAAGTGCATGATTTCTCACAAGGGAATATGTATGGACCCGACCATGGTTATCCTCATGGGCATTTTAATATGTTCTATGGTGGACATGGTCATTGATTCCATTGGCCTGGAAATCAACAGCAGCGAGCAGATTTTACGATGTTTCACTCCAGAAATGGTTTTTGGGGGGGTTTGTTGTCAAATTTGCGATTTAGGTCCTCAAGGTTCAAGTTTTAACTATTTTGGTCCATGAAGTTCCAATTAAAATGAAAAGGTCCTTCAGTGACCATTACTGAAACTGAATGATACTTCAGTGACCGTTAGTGCAAGTTTTAAACTTCAGTGACCGTTTTGTGATTTTGACGTAACTTCAGTGACCGTTTGTGAAATTAACCCATTTCAAATTCAATTAGCTTTTAATGCTCTAATTTTCTCACACACTTTGCTCGTAAGTTCTTTGTTTTGCTTTTTCTACTTCTTTGTCATTTTACACTCAAACTTCGTTTCTTTTTGCATCAATTATCTTCAAATCGAGGATTCCCTTCAAAGAAAATATATACACTAGAGTAGAAATTCATCAAAATAATTAGAAATATGCTACTTGTACATAATGCTCTGTCCACAACGGTGTCCACCCTCTCACATGGAAGGGGACCCACTTTGGATATATTATATTTTATTCGAGGTGGGTCCCCCTCTATGTGAGAGGGTGGACACCTTTATGAACACCTCATTATGTACGTGTAGCATCACCTAAATAATTATATATTAAGTAAATTTAAGAATCTAGACGAACGTTTAAAACAAACTTATAATTTAGCCCGTATTTAGTTTGGATAAAAATTANGGTCTTTATTTTTTATCCTTGATTTACTTCAATATGCTTCTTCCATTTTTTTATAAATCTTAGCATTTTATTGGAATTAAAAAGAGTGGTCTCTATTTGTACAAGAACTATTTTCTGTATGAATCTCATAACGCCTCCCATATTTGCATGCCATTAGCACAAATAAGATTAAGTTTCTGTTTGAGCCACTTTTTTTTTTCACTCTCATTCTTCTACTCATTTTCAACCTCATATTCTTCAATAAAATAATATTTTCTATCACGGCAAAAACTTTTCCTTCTTTTTCAACCACATATTTCCAAAAATCAATTTTTCCCCTAAAAATCCTTACCAAACATACTCATAGTCTTCTATTCCCGTGAAAGTCATCTCTAAGATTACCAAAAATATCCTTAGTTTTAGGTCAATCTTGAGCTGATAATTATGTTGGCTGCAACCTGCAGTTTTCCCCAATTTTTGCTGCTTGATTTTGAACGCACGTAACTTTTGATCCTTATTTTGTATTCAATTTCAAATTCAATTAGCTTTTAATGTAGATCATCGTAGAAACTTTATGCTCTAATTTTCTCACACACTTTGCTCGTAAGTTCTTTGTTTTGCTTTTTCTTCTTCTTTGTCATTTTACACTCAACTTCGTTTCTTTTTGCATCAATTGTCTTCAAATCGAGGATTCCCTTCAAAGAAAATATATACACTAGAGTAGAAGTTCATCAAAATAATTAGAAATATGCTACTTGTACAAAATGCTCTGTCTACAACGGTGTCCACCCTCTCACATGGAAGGGGACCCACTTTGGATATATTATATTTTATTCGAGGTGGGTCCCCCTCTATGTGAGAGGGTGGACACCGTTATGGACACCCCATTATGTACGTGTAGCATCACCCAAATAGTTATATATTAAGTAAATTTAAGAATCTAGACGAACGTTTAAAACAAACTTATAATTTAGCCCGTATTTAGTTTGGATAAAAATTAGATTTTTAATAGATTTAAATAAAATTTATGGTTAAAAAGTTGAAAAAAATTGTAAATCCATGTAATGTATGATCGAAAACAATTTTTTTAAAAAATATGGGAATCAAACAATGGCTTAGTATCATCATCATCATCATTTCTATTCATAGTAAAATCAAATATAATTATTGTAACTTTTTTTGTGCCGACTTCCGTTTGACGACCAAAGAGTGTCACAGGAAAATGAATTTTGGAATGGTAATGTTTTGAATAATATATAATTAAAATGTAGGAAAAAATTTGACTTTATATGTATAATATTTTATTGTGAGAATGTGTGGTTGAAAATTAGTTTAAGGAATTTTTTTTATTTTTTTATTTTAATGATTGCGAAACACGAGCTTAAAAAATTAAAATATTTACTGCACACTATTGAGATTTGACAATGGGGTTTAAGCATCAGGATGAGGCAGGGCCCAATCGTAGGTCGATGGGCCACAATGGCTCTATCTGGCTCCAAAAGTTAACCAATCACCTCCCACCGTCCCCAAAAGAATTATGTTCAATAAATTATTGAAATAATTTTTCCGTATATAAAAATATGAAAATAATTTTATTTTCATTTTAATTTTCAGCTAAAAAAGATTTGAAATTATAATTCGTTACGGACCCCATAAAATGCCCACACCTCCATCTTCACACTTCATTTATCTACCTATCCGTCTCTCTTCTCTACTCTCTCTCTCTCTCTCTCTCTCTCTCTCTCTAGTTGAGCCATGGCTTCCTCCTCGATAACCCTCTCCCAAGCCATCCTCTCCAGCTCCTCCATTGCCCGCCATGGCTCTTCCCAATCCACAACTACCACTTCCCTTTCCCTTCCCACCTTCTACGGCCTCAAGTCAACCGCCGCCACTTCCCGCCGCCGTATTGCCAATGTCCCAACCACCACCACTCGCCACTCTGTACCACGCGCCTCCGCTACTGTAGAGACACTAGAGAAAACTACAGATACGGCCCTCGTTGAAAAATCGGTCAATACTATCCGGTTCTTGGCCATCGATGCCGTTGAGAAGGCCAACTCGGGTCACCCGGGTCTGCCAATGGGTTGCGCTCCGATGGGTCATATATTGTACGATGAGGTCATGAGGTATAATCCCAAGAACCCTTCGTGGTTCAATCGTGACCGCTTTGTGCTCTCCGCTGGCCACGGATGCATGCTTCAGTATGCTCTTCTACACCTTGCAGGATATGACTCCGTCCAGGTCAGGCCCCTTTTTCTCTTTTCTTTCAATTCCACTTGTTTTTTACTTTGTATTCACTGTTCAGTACATAGGCATACAAGTTATACACTGACTTTTAATGTGTCTGTTTATTAAATTTGTACGTAGATCAAAGTGGAAGTTGTTATTATTTATGGGTTTCTTCTTTATAACTGAGCCCCTCTTTCACGGAAATTAAAATTCTGATTTAATCTAAATCAAATTCAATAATTAATTTTAACCACACAGCCACAAATTTTCAACCCGCAAGTTTTATCCATTTTTATCAAACATGGCTTGAATTTGATTTCTGGATCTGGATTGTTGGGATTTTCTTCTTCTTTTTTCCCCGTTATAGGATAGGTAAAATTATTTGGGTTCTAGGGATTTTTTGTACTGTTGGTTCAGCGTGTTCCTGTGTTATTTATTGCTTATGTTATGTGGTGGTTGTAATTCAAATATGATGCCTTGAATTTTTATGTTGTAATTAATAGTCTTTTTCTCTGTGTAGGTAGTGCAAGTTTCACTTTTTAAATTGTGCATTGTGGCGTTGTTCATTAATTTTAGTAGTGGAGACAATTTCCTTCTCTTTCGATCTGAATTTTGAATTTGAGATTTTCCTATTGTTGTAGCTGAAAACTTATTAGTATAAAATACACAGGAAGAGGATTTGAAGAGTTTCCGTCAATGGGGAAGCAAAACACCTGGTCATCCTGAGAACTTTGAGACAATTGGTGTTGAAGTCACCACTGGTTGGTATTTAGTCCTGAATGTTGCTTTCATATGCTTGCATGTTTTTAATTCAGAGGTTTGGAACTGATTATAATTTTCATTCACTCGAATGAAGGTCCACTTGGTCAGGGTATTTGCAATGCTGTTGGTTTGGCCCTTGCAGAGAAGCATTTGGCTGCTCGTTACAACAAGCCTGATAGCGAAGTTGTTGATCACTATACGTAAGAAAGTTTGGGATTTTCTTTTTATTCTTATTACTAGGTGTCTTGTTAGACTAATTGCATTGGCTCTTTCGCAGTTATTGTATCCTTGGTGATGGATGCCAAATGGAGGGCATTTCAAATGAGGCTTGTTCCCTTGCTGGGCACTGGGGACTTGGAAAGTTGATTGCTTTCTATGATGACAACCATATTTCTATTGATGGTGACACTGAAATTGCCTTCACCGAGAGTGTTGACACCCGTTTTGAGGGTCTTGGATGGCATGTAATCTGGGTGAAGAATGGAAACACTGGTTATGATGAAATTCGTGCTGCCATCAAGGAAGCAAAGACCGTAACAGACAAGCCCACTTTGATTAAGGTCAGATACTGCATCCATATAATAGGAAGATTGGAAGCGTCATATTGAATAATAAATTTATAAATATTGAAATGTGAACAATAATCATTTGTTACTGTTTAGTATGTTGATATAGCTATTTTATTCTTAAGATACCTTGTTACTTCTATAAACCTTTTTCTTCCCTATAGGTGACTACAACCATTGGTTACGGTTCTCCCAACAAGGCTAACTCATACAGTGTACATGGAAGTGCACTAGGTGCCAAGGAAGTTGATGCCACCAGGAAGAACCTTGGATGGCCTTATGAGCCCTTCCACGTGCCCGATGATGTGAAGAAGTAAGAATAGTGTCTTGCTTTCTTGAATCAATGTCATGCCCTTTTCGTTTGTTAATGCATAGTAATTTGGATACAATTGTTTGCAGGCATTGGAGCCGCCATACCCCTGAGGGTGCTGCCCTTGAAGCTGAATGGAATGTCAAGTTTGCTGAATATGAGAAGAAGTATCCAGAGGAAGCAGCAGAATTGAAGTCTATCATTACTGGTGAACTACCTTCTGGTTGGGAGAAAGCTCTTCCAGTGAGTAGTTCTTTGGCACTTTTGTTATTCTCTATCTTGTCTTTTTGAGTGTTTGTGCAACATTTGAAGTTAGTGACGTGCTTGATAATATGAAGAATCAATGAGTACAGAATGTGCAAATTTTTACTCTTTTACTCTGCTATTTCTCCTGACAGCAGGAAAATGTTCCTCTCAAGTCAAATAGTTACGTAGTTTTTCTTTGCTAATATATGTTTCTGTCAAGACTTATTGACTTTTAATCTTTTTCTTCAGACATACACTCCAGAGAGCCCAGCTGATGCCACCAGGAATCTGTCTCAACAAAACCTCAATGCTCTTGCTAAGGTTCTCCCTGGTCTACTCGGTGGCAGTGCTGATCTTGCCTCATCTAACATGACCCTTCTAAAAATGTTTGGTGATTTTCAAAAGAACACGCCCGAAGAGCGCAATGTGAGGTTTGGTGTACGTGAACACGGTATGGGAGCCATCTGCAATGGAATCGCTCTTCATAGCCCTGGCTTGATTCCTTACTGTGCAACTTTCTTTGTGTTTACTGACTACATGAGAGCAGCCATGAGGATCTCTGCCTTGTGTGAAGCCGGAGTTATCTATGTTATGACACACGACTCGATTGGTCTTGGTGAAGATGGACCAACTCATCAGCCTATTGAGCACTTGGCAAGTTTCCGAGCTATGCCCAACATTTTGATGCTCCGTCCAGCCGACGGAAATGAGACAGCCGGTGCATACAAGGTGGCTGTCCTCAACAGAAAGAGACCATCTGTCCTTGCCCTCTCTCGGCAAAAGCTGCCCCAACTTCCTGGAACCTCCATTGAAGGAGTAGAAAAGGGAGGTTACATTATATCAGATAATTCATCTGGTAACAAGCCTGATGTGATTTTGATGGGAACAGGTTCCGAGTTGGAAATTGCAGCAAAGGCTGCTGATGAACTCAGAAAGGAAGGGAAGACAGTTAGAGTCGTCTCTTTCGTTTCTTGGGAGCTTTTTGACGAGCAATCAGACGAGTACAAGGAAAGTGTTTTGCCTGCGTCTGTAACAGCTAGGGTTAGCATTGAAGCTGGATCGACATTTGGATGGCATAAGATTGTTGGACAGAAAGGGAAGGCCATTGGAATTGACCGATTTGGGGCTAGTGCACCTGCAGGAATAATATACAGGGAATTTGGCATAACAGCAGAAGCCGTTATAGCAGCAGCCAAAGAAGTCTCCTAGGTTTTCCTGGCTTGTTTCTCGGTTGCTGGTGGCCTTCCAGAGTTATTTATGGATTCTGGGGGTTGTAAAATTATAAGAAATCCACGCACAAGGTACTCAGATCAGGGTACTATCATTTGAGAGTTCATAATAAAAGGAGATAAAATTTTCTTTCTTGTCTTGTCTTCAATTGGCAGCAGGGATTGCAAACTAAAGTAAGATCAGGAGAGGAATTGGGCTTTACAAATGCTCCTGCATTTGGACATCTTCAAACATTGTCTTCAGTTTTGTAACTCTGTATTTTGATTGATGATGTCTCATTTCCCTTGTAATTTATGTGGTTGATTGATAATGAAAAGCCTCTACTTTCTCCTTTTACAGCCAACGCTTGCTAGTTTTTGAGATCATAAGCAAATTTTTCATTATTAGAAATTCTCCTGATTTGGAAAATTAGTATGGATCGACAAGATTTGGTTCTCTTGAAATAAATACCTCGGGACAGACTCTTGAATAAATGGATTTCAATGATCTCGATTTACGTCCTTTTCTTGGGTTACAAGCTTTATTAGCGTTCGAACTTATAGGGTCGTTTCACTTGCTAGCAGAGTTCTTAACCCGAGAAAAAGGAAATGCTCTCTCGGTGCTATCTAGTTCGTTTGGAGAAAGCTATTGTTTCTTGTAATCGCAATTATCTTTTTTTTTCGAAGTCAATGTCAAAATGGATTGGATTGTGAATTCAAGCCATTCAAGAAAAGGTAAGAGCGATCTAAATTATCTAATATCTTTGAAGCTTCTCCAAGCAAAATAAGATAGTGGGGTCAGTTGCAAGGATGATCCATTATTATGTGGTTGTTGAAGGGGTAGTTTGTATGTGGTTGTTAGAGAGTTTGGGGTTCTATCCACATTGTCTCCTACTCGCATTCTTTTCAACTCAAAATCTTGGAACTTATTTCCCTTTTTGATGGTGAAAGGAGTAATTTTTTAGATGAATTCGTAGAATTAGCATATAACCTTAGCATATTCTCTCTCTCTCTCTCTCTCTTTCTCACTCACACACACACACACACAATGAAAACACCACTTTTACTTCAAGATCTCCCCCGTCTCAGTCAAACACAAAAGGTGTTTAGTATTTTGTGTATGTGTCAACCATCGAAAAAATCTCACTTAACCTAAGCGTCGTTTAATTTGCCATTGATCAACATGGATCAAGTATAGTTAAGATTAATAATTTTGAAATCGAGGAAAGAAAGAAGAAAACAAAAGAAAAACCATGAGTAGTTCATATGATAGTTAGTCATTGTCAAATTCTTTAATGAACTAAAACGCATCCAAATTTTTAAGAATATGTGATAGTTACCATATTGTCACATATACTATAAACTGTTGATGAGTAAACACTTCTTATAAATAACATTACTTATATAAAAACGCGATGCATTAAAGACCGAGCTTCCTTCTCAGTCCGGATTTACCCCTGTTTGAGCCCCATTTTTTCTCATTCCATTACATTAATTTTTTCTTTCTCTTCATCTCAACCACACATTCTCAAATAAAATAATATTACACACAAATCTAAAACTTTTCCACCACACATTTTTCCATCATCTAGTAACACAAGCTAAAATAGTAAACATTATACTTTCATCATTATTGATGGCTTTTCTGGATTTATTTGAGTCCCTCTTTTTGAACCTAAAAGATGAAGTATTGAATGCACTTGAACATTCTTGTAAAAAGGTTCACAATGAAAGGGATATACTACTACTACCGTTAGGAGTGATCATGGTAGAGAATTTGANTTTTTGTTAGAATACAAAAATTATGCATATAAACTACAAGTTTAAAAATTAAATAGACCAAAGAAAATGATGTCGTTGTAGTAACACGAAATACATTATTTTATATATTGTAGATGAATCCAAGTTTGTACATACATAAAGAACAATATGAAATTGTGTAATTAACATATAAGGCTAACAAAGTTTGGATAGTTATATAGAAGATTTTTCTCACACTTTGAAAGGTGTAAATGTTTTTATTCACCTTATGGACAAACTATTTATAAACAATTAATGTTGATTAGAATAGTTATTTGATTTTTCTTTCAATAATCGTATGGAATACATATCTTTTAACCTTTATTTATTATTTGATTTTTAAGGACAATGATGCATATTTCTTAAGAAGGACCCAAGTAGTTTCTGAAATTGAATATTCTTTAAATCAATTTTTCATACTTGTAAAATGTCTGTCTTTCGCAGTTTATGGGAAAAAAAAAACATATATTCATGTGTAATTTGAGTCAACTTGAAGCATTAAATTTAACAAACAACAAGTAGTGTATTTGATCAAGGATTGAATTGTCGAGTAGTTAATCGGTAACAGAACTAAGAGCCCACGATTGTTGAATAAACCGTGTTTATATTAAGGTAAATTAAACAACAATTATTGTTTTTTTTTTTTTTGCAAGAAGGGTGTTTTAACAAGAAAAAAAAAAACCAATTTTCATCCTGACCATTATTCATTAAAAAATGCCTTTCAAAATATTTACCAAAAAAAAAAAAAAAGGTCATTTTGACAAAATTGGAGTTTGAGACGTGGTGTGAGCTCCCTTTCTTCTTGGACTTCTTAAGGTCCATATTTCGGCGAAAATAGAGGACATAAATAGGCCCGTCTTAAGAAAAATGCTCAATAGAGGAAAATTGTTTTTTGATTTTGGAATAATCGCAACAAAAGTTCCAAACTTTTGAGATATTAGCACACTTTTTCTGAACCTTTTATTTATTGTAGCCGTCATCTCTAATATTTCCAACCATTGTAGGTGAGATCATTTTGGACAGTTTCCATCCAAAATGTCGTCAGTTGACCACCAAAAAAAAAAAAATTGATCACTTTCTACCAAATAAGGAAGAGCAAATATTTTTTCCATAAAATAATTAAAATAAATAAATAAATAATAAAAAAGGAAAAATATCTTCTTCTCCCTCACCCCCAACCACCACCCCAACCCCTCAACCAAAACCATATGTGATTCTTGATGCGCAACATAACAAGAAGACTGTACATCATTTGTTATCCAATACCGCTAGACATAATGAAATTGGAGCTACTGAAAGTGAAGACCATAGGAGAAGATAGAGAGAAGGCCTCGAGAATAGAATCACCGACAAGAGAAGAAGCCAATAGCCTTTTCCTTCCCTACAAAAAAAAAAAAAAAAATTCTCTTAATTACATCTTTGTTAAATTCTATTCATCAAGCATAAAGAAAAACTTGGTGACTCGTATCTCACCGTTTTCGAGCAGTCATGTCATTGTATACTCAGAAAGGTGAGAAAGCCGATAGTAGACTAAAATTGATAAATGTGAGATGTATCTGTAATCAAAAGAGTCTACGTAAGCTTATCTTCCTAAATTGTACCCTCAATCTTAAATAAAAGCGCATTGAACCTCAACAATTTCCATCGACGCCTTTACCGAGTTCAAGCACGTCTTCAATAATTTGGACTTTTGTCAAGTCAATCTTTTGGATCTAACAATAATATTTTAATTTGGCTGAAACCACATTTAGTTGCACCTTGAACCACATTAAAATTTTCATTCTTCTACTCATTTTCAACTATACATTCTTCAATAAAATAATATTTTTCATCACATCAATAACTTTTCCTTCATTTTCAACCAAACATTCTCCATCAATCCACTATTCCAAAATACATTCCTCCAAAATAACGTAACTCAAACACACCCTTAGGCCGTCCAAAAGCGGTGGTGGTGGTTGGTGGTTCACACGGTGGTAGTTGAGATCTTGTTCCGAATAAACAAATATACTTACCAACTCTATGGGGGTCCTACCTTCCTAAATAATTCAAACCAATAATTAATATTTTTTAATTTTGGAATTTAGCAGAAACTCTATAGATATTAAAAAAATTTAGTAGAAACACATACGACGATTTTCAAACATATATTTAGATGCCAAAATCGCTTTAAAATAGATTGTCGGACACTCCGGTGCAAGATATGTTTCTACATGTACTGAAAGACTTACGTAATAATCTACTCAGGTGAAATATGATTGAATCAAAATTTCTTTAATCAAATAATAAAAAAAAAAAATTCACTCCCTTACACCTCATTTGTATGTACAAGTAACGTTATTTTAAGAAATCGTTTGACAATCATTACTGTAAAAAAAAAAAAAAGTTTTGAATAGTAATTTTTAAGAGAATTTATAGTTAAAAAAATACAAATTTTTTTTATACGTATAAAATGTTTTATTATATGAATATATAATGAAAAATGATTCCGTACCTAATCACGAAATAAATTAACGATTGTCAAAAGGGAACAGACAAAAGGGGTTGGTGAGGGTACGCCCAGTCACACTCACTTGGACTATACTCATAGCCAACGATTTACTAAACGTGCGTACTCTCCTGCCAACCCCAACGTCCTCTCACCTAACACACCACGAAAATTTGCAATTTGAAAACCTGAAATCCCAATCCCAGAAGCCACCATTTTTTTTCCTTCACAAAGCCACTCAAAAATTCTTAATTTCCTCGAGAAATGGCGCAAGCTAGCAACTTGGCGCACAAACTCCCGACACCGAAATTCCTCAGCCCTAATGATCTAAATCCTAAATCTTCTTGCTTGCCAGCATATTCTGTGTTTTTTGGCTCAAAAAATATTAAAAGTTCATCAAATTGTTTGAGGGTTTCGAGTAAAGATTCAAGTTTTGCAGTAAAAAAAAATAGGTCAGTAAAGGTTATGGCTTCAGTGGCCACCGCCGAGAAGCCGTCTACGGCGCCGGAGATAGTGCTGCAGCCCATCAAAGACATTTCCGGTACCGTCAAGTTGCCGGGATCAAAATCTCTCTCTAACCGCATTCTCCTTCTCGCTGCCCTCTCTGAGGTAATATTAATATGTATATGTGAGGATATGATCTTTTAATTTGATTGTTAAATGTGAGGCTATATGGTGATTATTAAAGCAGGTTTTACCTGTCACTTTATTTCACATTAGTGGGAGATGTGATTGAGCATTAAGTGCGCAAATATGGTGGCGTGTGAATTTGCAGTCTAAGACTGCAATTAGAGTAGGAAAATGATAATAAATAATAAATTGTTGGATAATCAAAGCAGGATCTTTTGTAATCTCAAGTGAATGCGTGAAAAGTTAGAATTTAGGTAATCTTTGTCATTTACTAGACACTACTAGGAAACTATTGGATTTTTGGTTATTAACATAATTAGATTGACATGTTTGAATAGTTAATGAAATTATATTCCTTAATGTCCTGTTAAGAAATTTTGTAATTTGGTAGGAATGATGCACTAGATCCCTTACGGAAGTAATTCATGGTTTAAGGAATAACGGTGGGAGTGCCTTGTAGTTATAAACTAAATTTTTTCTTTCGAGTTCATATAGCTTTGTCGAAGTTATGTTTATGATCAAGGGTTGACATCTTCCTTCATTTCCTTTAATTTTTTTTTATTTTTTTTTTGTTGTTCAGGACTACCACTAAAAAACAATTTCTATTGTGTGCTAGAAGGATAAAATGTCAAAAGTTTGGGAATTGGATATAAGTTTGTATATTCTTATGTCATTGTCATCATCTTCTTCTCTTGAAAAGATTTTAGGCTTTTCCAATGTGCTCTTTTTTAGCTGCTTCTGCTTTGTGTCTACTTTTTGCATGTTGTAATTTGAATATATCTTCATGATTGGATATTATGAATGTATTGGGGAGGTCTGAACCTTTACATTTCCGTTGAGAAAGTTTCTTGACTTCTTATCACATGTCATCCACTTGTTTTTTAAGGGAACAACTGTTGTCGACAACTTGTTGAACAGTGATGATATTCATTACATGCTCGAAGCCTTGAAAACACTTGGGCTAAATGTGGAAGTAGACAAAACAATCCAGCGAGCAATTGTGGAAGGTTGTGGTGGTATATTTCCAGTTGGTAAAGTACCTAGTGATGAAGTTCAACTTTTCCTGGGAAATGCGGGAACAGCAATGCGCCCATTGACTGCTGCAGTTACTGCTGCTGGTGGAAATACAAGGTTTGTCTAAGTGTGTCTTTTTTTCTCTTGCATGTATAGCACTTGCACTTTTTGATAAGCAGTGTTCTCTTCAACTCATTTCTTGATCCTTGTGATGTGAAATTTACCGTAATTCAATGACGTTCATATGATTATATCCACCGGTTAACATTTGCATGTTAAATATTTGCCAATTCGGACATGGTGAAGCCAAATGTTAGTAAATAAATGTGCCTCCTCTCTAAGTTTCTAGACAAGGTGGTTCAACATTATATTAGACGGGTCAAAATCTTGAGTTCAAGTGTCATTTTCACCCAATTATGAAAAAGTCCATTTGTCACCCATGATAAAACAAAAAATAATTCCCTCCTGTACTCCCTTTGAAGATAAAATTTAAATAAAATTATGTCCCCTATCTAATGGTTTAAGCCTTTGTATGAAGTGGTTAAACGAGGTCCGGTTCAACCAACAAAACTGATTCCTAATTTGGATTGTCATTAACATCCCACGTAATGTAAGCATGTGGCCATCTAATTAACCACTATCTTTGAGTACATTCTGCAAAAATAATCTAGGAGTCAATTATATAATTTCTCTTATTAACTTTTGATGCTTCTTAATTGGGTACTAGTTTTTTTTCCTCTTTTACCTGTCACCTTTTGATAAACATCTTACTTTCAGCTATGTACTTGATGGGGTTCCACGCATGAGAGAGCGACCAATTGGTGATTTGGTCACCGGTCTTAAGCAGCTCGGCGCAGAGGTTGATTGTTTTCTGGGAACAAATTGCCCGCCTGTTCGTGTAGTTGGAAAGGGTGGCCTTCCGGGAGGAAAGGTGTGTTTTCCATTCATTTAAGATGACTTTTTCACATAACCAGGGGTTGTGATGTATGTATATATTTACAACATGCAAAAGGCAAAGCAATGATGATTTAAACGTGTGAGAGGTATTGGCCATAACACTATCATATTCACAAAATAGATCCAAGTTCAAGACCTTACTACTAGTACTAGGAGTTCAAGGCTTTTCTTCACCTAAAATTATTGTTTTTGTGTTCAAGTTGAATAAGGATGACTTTGGCAGTTGTGACATATCTTGTATAGACCTAAAAAGGCTTCTATTCATAAAAGTGATGCAATCTTAGGAGAACATGTTACAAAATGGAGAGTAGCCAAGGCTTGCATGACGTGTAATAGTTGCCAAAGATCAGTTGCATTTGAACTTCCTGTTGGTGTAGCAATGAATAGAATGAAGTGGGTGAAAAAGATTCATGTAGTTGACTTCAAATTTAATTGAGAATTCAGTTTAGTTTGTTGTTAGACTTGTGTCTGGCCATTGTAGCATGTGTGTTGTCCACAATATCTTTGTTGTCTACAATAAGTATCCTTTTCCACTCTTTTTGTTTTAGTATTTAAATTAATGCACATGGATAAGTACCTATAGAGTTTAAGGTTTTAATCTCTGTGTTATTCTATTCATTTTAGTGTGACCCTTGCTCTGTATTGAGCTTCTCTTCCATATGTGAGGGAGAATTGTCTTCTACATAAACGCTCTTTATACTATTTGACTAGAATATACCTTTACAATCACTTTTTATGTCTTTCTTCTGGCAGGTGAAGCTCTCTGGATCCATTAGCAGCCAATACCTGACTGCTTTGCTGATAGCAGCTCCCCTTGCTCTAGGAGACGTGGAGATTGAAATCATTGACAAGCTAATTTCTGTTCCATATGTAGAGATGACTCTTAAGTTGATGGAAAGATTTGGCGTCAGTGTAGAGCATAGCGACAGCTGGGACAGATTCTTGGTAAGAGGAGGTCAAAAGTACATGTAAGTCCCACTACCCTAGGTTTGAACAGATTTTATAACTTAATTCAATGGGAAGTTAATAAAATTTTTCATTAGATCTCCTGGAAATGCTTATGTTGAGGGTGATGCCTCAAGTGCTAGTTACTTCTTAGCTGGTGCAGCTGTTACTGGTGGAACCATTAGTGTTGAAGGTTGCGGGACAAGCAGCTTACAGGTATTAACTACACCATTTTACTTAATCTTATGCGGGCTGTGCTTATCATGTGATCCTAATGTTCGATGTTCTGGAAGCATTACTGCCTGATGAAAATGACCATGTTTGTTGCAATATGAAAGGAGTCCACTGGGGGGGATGGGGTGTTGCTGTTTTTCATATGTCATTGCAAAATTGATAGTCTTACTTTATTTTCGTTGCACTCTCGTGTGAAGGGTGATGTTAAATTTGCTGAGGTGCTAGAAAAGATGGGTGCCAAGGTTACCTGGACAGAGAACAGTGTCACTCTCAAAGGGCCACCTCGTGATTCGTCTGGGAGGAAACACTTGCGTGCCATTGATATCAACATGAACAAAATGCCAGATGTTGCCATGACTCTTGCTGTAGTTGCACTTTTTGCTGATGGACCCACCACCATAAGAGATGGTAGGCTCCCCTTCTTGGTTTTGATAGGAGTATGCTTCTCTTTTATTGACCATCATAATTGCAATAATAGCTACCTTAACTTGGGTTTTTCTGTGAACATTATGGGCGGTTCATCATGTTGTCAAGGATATATTATTCTATGTTCTTACGTAAGAAAGTCAAATTGCAGGGGTATATCTCTACATCTGCAAGTGAACAAGAGAACCACCTGACTTTACTAAGAACTTCTAGAGCTCCGTCTCAATAAGCAGATAGCATATTAGTTGAGAAGAAATTTTTTGCTATACTCATTTATTTTTTCAAGAATGATAAATTGAAACTATGATAATTTTCTATGCAACTGGAACAGAATGATTGCACATTGTTTTTGAGAAGATGCATAGAGAATCAATTTAGCTTAACCTTGGAGACTAGAGTAGCTATATATTTTTTTGAGACTAATGTATGCGAGAGAGAAAAGAAAGGATTGTCGAATGGGTAAGAGGATATATAGGATGAGTGTAGCAGTCTAGCATAGCCAGGAGAAACACAGAAAAAAAATGCAATGGTGAATCTACTAATGGCTTGTTTGGTAAACTTTTTTCAAAATCATTTTCAACCATACCTTCTCCAAAGAAATTATTTTTCACTTGAAAAAACCTGTGCCAAACAAACTTTAAGAACCTTATTCAGCCTAGTTACTTTTTGTCTGCCTATGCATAACCTTTAAGACTTCCATCTTTTTGTCTCATTTTTTGGACAAACAACATGAAATACCTTGGGTCAGGATTAGTTCGAGTTAGTTGTGGAGCAATGCATTTGAGAGAGAGAGATTGAGATGTTCAAGAGTGAAGCAAAACACCTTGAATGGCTGTGGTTTCAAAGTAAAAGTATCAGTAGAAAAATAGGCAAGTCTAAGGTTAAGAAATACCTAAAAATGAGTTTTTTGCCAGGCTTAATTCTCACAGGGAAGGATGAGACTGTTAGAAATTAATCTAAAGAGTGAGAATAAGACAAGCAAGGCATGTGATCAAAACTATAGATTCGTTTCTGACTGCTAATTTACCTTTACTTTATGTAGAATAAAGCAAAGTACATATATTATGCCACATATGATGGTAAATATACTTTGTCCCTCGTGTGATACCACTTATACGTTGCCCATACGATGTGTTTGTACTTTTTTTTATGCTTAGATTACAACCACTAAGGAGCTTATATATGATTACAAACTCAAACACTAGGAGAAATATAAAAAAGGATAGATAGTTGGGAGAAGTGTCAATCCTCTTGTCAAAGGATTCCACTTAAAGAATTTGGACTCCAAACACACAAAATATATTTTACATACTATTATTTAAAGTAAATAATAGTACAAACAAATCACATAGGCAAAGTATATGTACTTTGCTTTATTTTGCGTAAAGTAAAGGTATCTTGGCAAGTGGGTAAGGAATCTATAGTTTTGATCACATGCTTTACTTGCTTCTTACTCTCTTAGTAAGGGGTCGATACATCTCTCCCTGCTATCGACCTTTTTAATGTATTTCTCTCAGTAATATCAGTGTGAGTTTGTGATCCTATTTAACCTCCTTCGTGGTTGTACCTCCTTAGTGGTTATAGCCTGCTACTTTTGACAAGGTTGAAGATGATAAGTTGAACATTAGTATCCTCAATAATTATCTAGCATTGATTTTAGAAGAATTGTGTATCTATTATACTGGCCTCAGCTGGGAAGAACTTGTAAGTGGTTTGTGAGTGGTGGATAAGTTGATAACATTTGTAGGTTCATTAGAATGTGTGGTTGAATATGTTTTGACCATTTGTAAGTGATTTATAAATTTTGCCAAATGAAGGCTTAATATGATTCGTGAATGCTCATCAAATGCATCTTACCTAGAATGTGTGTAATCATGCAAACATGATTGTAGAATGCACGCACGCACGTTAAATAGAATTAGAGGTGTGAAAATGAGCTGGTCAGTTCAAACCGGCCAGCCCACCTGTTGAACGGGCACGGACTGGAGGCGGTCAAGGACCGGCCCGGCCTGGCCCAGCTCACAATATATTCACACAAGATCAGACCGCCCAGTAGCCCATCCCTGTACCAGGCTGGTTGAGTATGGTTGACCAGAATCGTAAAGAAATGGGGCAAAATGCTAAATTTGGATGAACGGAGGCAACTAAAGGCTGACTTAGAAATCTAGATAGAGAGCTTGATTTGGGCAACCGTAGTCTCTTAGGTTTTTCCTCCTGTGCAAGTCGCCGCCGCTCGGCCCTCATTATACCCTGTATACTAGCCATGGTGCTTGCTAGCCATCGTGGGAGAATCGCTTGGCCTGAGCTAAGGGGCCTACACTTAACTAGGGAGCCGCTCTGCTAGATTCGACTGTGAAGAAAGAATGATGCAAATTGTGTGAAAAACGACAATTGAGAAAGAATATAGTTCTCCTGTGAGTACATGTGTGCCTGACTTATTTGTGAGCTCATTTTGCTGGAAGTGAATGTGAGCTCACAAATAAATCAAGCACTGACATTTACAAGTGAACTGTAAGAGAACTTTGCTCTCTTGAACAAAGTGTATTTCTTTCTCAATTTCTGTCTACAAAATTTGCTTGAAGAACAGAACCCAATACTGTTCTTCTATATACTTTTAGGTGCATTCTGTTTAATATGCTACAGAATCCTAGATCTAATACTTTGAATATGTGCATTCTAGACTAGCACATCTGATGTTTATTCATGAATAAATATATTCATCCACTTTTCTTCAAGAATCTAAAGCTGAAAATTATGTCAATAATAGAGTTAAAGAAAGGACAGAGTAGTTCAGAATATTTAGATGGATATGAGGTAAAACGCTGGATGTATAATGAAATAAATCAGACGAGTCAAATTGTAGTGATGAAGTAAATTAGAAGAAAAGAAACACCGAAAATAACTTGGAAATTGGAATAAGGCAATAAAAAAGATTTCTTAATATGTGAATTGACTGCAATTTTTTCAGTATGGTGCTGAACAGAAAGGAATAATTTGTACGCCCTCCATACAATATTCTTTCGAGATATATTAAGTAGAACTTAAAATGCGCAGTGGATATTATGCTAGCGATTTTATGAGTCAAAAGATTTTCTGAAAATCAAGTACTATTTTGAAGATGCCATGTTATATTATCAGCACTTGCAAGGTCAAAACTTTGAGAAGCCCGGATGATATTGCATGCATTTTCATCCAAGTAGCTGTTGCCCTTTATTATTCTTTTTCGACCAATTCCTTTTTGCTTCTCATGTTGCTTTTATTTAATTTTCTTTTGACATTAGACTCCGGTACGAAACAAATTGATCTCTTCTCTCATTTATTCATAGTGGCTAGCTGGAGGGTCAAAGAAACTGAACGGATGATTGCCATATGCACGGAACTTAGAAAGGTTAGTTCGTTGCTGCATTGTTTACTTTATTCTGTCATTTCTTTTCTAATTGGGTAAATACACCATTAAGTCACTAGATTTATAGCAAAGTTTCACGTCACATCACGTCATGTCACTGAACTTTATTTTGTTCCAAAGTGGTCACTAAATTTTGCGTTTCGCTTCAGTTTGGTCATATAGTTAAAATCCCATTAGTTTTTTAACAGAATGTCCGACATGGAAGACCTTAGTATTCATGCCATATTGGATTGTTGCCTTCCATGACAGACATTTCATTTAAAAAAACTAATGAATAAATCTCAATGACCAAACTGACAAAATTCAATTTTAAATGACCTTTTGAACAAGTTAATGTTCGGTGACTAATAGAAACTTCACTATCATAACTGGAAGTGCTTAATATTTATTTAATATGAGTCCTTTGAGATCTTTTGCCATTCAATTCAAATTTCAGTTGGGAGCTACAGTTGAAGAAGGGCCAGATTACTGTGTAATAACTCCACCGGAGAAACTAAATGTCACAGCAATAGACACTTACGATGATCATAGAATGGCAATGGCCTTTTCTCTTGCTGCTTGTGCAGATGTTCCGGTCACGATTAAAGATCCCGGTTGCACTCGTAAAACCTTCCCGACTTATTTTGAAGTCCTCGAAAAGTTCTCAAAGCATTGACAGTTTTTTGATGTGCCAAAGTTTGTCATGTAACAATGTTCGAATGTGTCGATGTTGAACAAATTTTTCTTCTGTATCATTAAAACGCTATTTGAAATAAGAATTTTTATTTATTTTTGGAGTCTTCAAGATAGGATGCAACTTGTCACGCGTCTAGTTTTGTTACAATTGAACAACTAGAAACTGTGTGACCTTAATGTTCACAATTCCCGTCCCTCACGAGAAAACGTTAAGTCAGCCTTTTAATACTCACAAATAATTTAACCAACTAAGCTAAATTACAATAACTTTGAGTAGATGATTTAAAGTAAGGAAAATATGGAAAAGAAGTAAGATTGAGGAAAGTTCTCTTTGTATATAAATAACTTCACTCCAATGAATGTTTTTACAAATGAGAATACATATCTATTTTCATTGCAAGTTGCATGTGGACACGTTCCTTTCATAGTGACCAAATTGGTCTTTACTTCTTCCTTGACATTATCTTGCGAGTTGTACAAGTTGCACAAATTGTCCACTTGCATCCTCAAAATATCTAGATGCAGCCCATGGTATTAAGTAACTTACGGCTGCGACCTGGTGGGGGCATAAGTAACTGCTACCATTTTTGAAACTCGAAACTAACATTGCTCCCTTTTCTGGTAGAGTTCTGAAGAGAATTTTTTTTGTGTATTAGGGTGCCATTTTCAGCTAGGGTAAATTGGTGGTGGGTGGAGACACCACCAACCGTGCATCCATTGTCCCGTGGGCAAAGCCTCGACTAGGATGCAAAGTAGTGAAGCTTCATTAACAAAGCTTACAAGTCAGTTGAAGAAGCTAATGGGGAGTTTGGTAGATTTTTGAAAAGTCAAAAGCTTATTTGTAAATTCAAAAGTTGTTTTTTAATCTGTTTTCATAATGTTTTTGGAAGTACTTCTAGTTAGAAGAGTTTTAGAGATAGTTCGTTAATGATAGCTTCCTGAAAACTCTTCTATAAAAAGTAAAAGTCCATCCAAATGGACCCTAAGCCTTAGTCCCGATTATCTAGATCAATTAATGATGGGTGCCAATGTACAACGTGGACTTTGATCTAAAGTTTGCTCGTTAAACGTGTCTTCTGTTTTACATGTTCAACTTATCTACTCAAGCCTAAATGGGTGGTTGGCGTTGTATTCATGCACGTGTGAAAAGACTTGGCCTGTAAGATTTTGTTGCACATGTTTTTAGAAGCTTTTATGATCGTAGGGACTGAAAGTCTTTGCACGCATGCAGTTCAAGGTCGTGATCAATCAAATCATTCATTATAAATCGTTATATGCCGAAAATATGCTAAAATCTCTACAAACCTACCCTCTTCGACAGCCAATTCTATCGTAGAAGTTAGAACAAGGGTCGAACAGACTGGTCGAATATAATGTTTCGCAAGTTTTGACGGATTCACATTCAAAAATAACTAAGAGGGCTGGGTGTTACTGGGAATTCAACTTCAACAAGAAGCATGAACATGATTATTAAGTACTTTCTGGGCATTTCAATGATGCCAACTTGTAGAGAAATAACTTCACTGCTGTGCTGGGACATGCTTGTCAAATGGTGGAGGTGCCCATGTTTACTATTTATATCTTTTTATTCTTTCTCCAACCCACGTATCAATTGACTCAATTAAACAACTCGTTAGACGTGCTATAACTTGTTTGTTGGAGACGACGTCGAGAGCAAAGTCAGGGGATAAAAAAAAATTGCACTGGGCGGATACATAAAAAAAAAAAAAAAAGAATCTAATTATGTTATAATCTTAAGAGATGGTAATGTTTATGATTTTATATGTGATGTTGCTAATCTTATTAAGGTCCTGTTCGGGAGGGATTAAAAGCCAATTAAAATTGAAAATATGGCCGTTATTAGGTCCCACTCGTCTAATAAAAGTCAACAATAACGGCTATATTTTCAATTTTAATCCGATTTTAATCCCTCCCATACAAGGCCTAAATATGGTGTAATAAATACATCTTTAAATGCAATACTGTTTAAAATTGGACGATGTAGTAGACATGATTTTAGCTTCTTTTTATAATATCATTGAAGTAATTTGTAGTTTGGCGTGTAATTTTAGGATAATTATCTTAACATAGGCATTCACGTGATGTTAGACAAAGTAAAAAATGACATAAGATTATCAAGTCCCTATTTGAATCTCAATCTCTAAAAACTCATTTTTCTTTCTCAAACTTATTTTCAATTACACATTCTATTAATAAAATAATTTTATACGTAAAGTCAAAATTTATTCTTACTTTTTAATTGCACATTCTTCGAAAAATCACTATTATAAAATCTATTTTTCCAAAAACTCAGTGCAAACAAAGCCTGAATAAGGGTTCTTGAAAAAGTAAGGGGCCGTTCTCTTCGTGTTTCAGTTTTGTGTTTTAAGTTTTGAATTCGTTTTGTACTTTGTGTTTTGAGTGTCTGTTTTGAGATTTCTGAAAATGCGTTCTTTTTGTCATTCTGAAAAACTGTTTTTGAAAACAGAAAACGTGAAAACGCGTTTACTTTGAAATTTTGAAATTTTTTTTAATAATATTTTTTTTTCTTTTCTTCTTTCTCAACATTCAGTTTTGTGTTTTAAGTTTTGAATTCGTTTTGTACTTGGTGTTTTGGGTGTCTGTTTTGAGATTTCTGAAAATGCGTTCTTTTTGTCATTCTGAAAAACTGTTTTTGAAAACAGAAAACGTGAAAACGCGTTTACTTTGAAATTTTGAAATTTTTTTTAATAATATTTTTTTTTCTTTTCTTCTTTCTCAACTCCGCAGTCTCTATTTTAAAGTCAATATTTTCATGCCAAAAAAAATGTATCGAAGGTTGAACATTAGTGTTCCATCGAATTGGAGATTGGAAAGGCGTAAACTATATTTCAATTGATTCATTTGGTTGAACGGCAACATTGTCTTTTTGCAGGGCCAATTGAAATTTTCGATTACGGACAAATTGCACATATTAATGAAAGTTTCTTTTTGAGGGTAAGAATGCGAAGAAGAAATGGTTGGGGAAAAAGATGCAACTGAGGTCAAACATTGAGGACAAAATGTGTAACTCACCCAAGAAAATAAGTTAACCTTCGACTAAAATGTCGAATTCGAAAAAAAATGCAATCAGGTTAAACTTCTGCAACTGCATTATTCAGGTGTTCACAGAGTTCTTTGCATCAGGTTCATCATGAGAACTCAAATGCTAATGCAAATCCTCAGCAAGAATTTAATCCAATAATTGTTTCAAATACACATTTCAATTATAAGAACTCCTTTATATACATGTAGTCTGAAAGATGCAAACTTTCTGTGCGAAAAATAGAGATGTCAATCTCAACTTTACATGTGCTTACAACTGCTGTGGGTTTTCATTTTTTTACAGCCACATAATACCAAAATGGAACCACCTCACAAAATCATAAAAGATCTCAAAGATTACTGCACAGAATCAGAATGCCACTTGTCTGAAATGCCACCACCCCCAGTGAGCGAGGAAGAAAAGTTGAGGTAATGAAGTTACAGTACAATAGCTGCATTAAGAGGCAGAGTCTTAATTAATACATCAATGTGCACTATTCTCTTTTGAGAAGTTACCATAAATTCATTTGCTCATTTCTCAAGTACAAAACCAATCAAAGTTCCAAAATACTGCTTAATTAAGCAAATCTATAGGATAAAATGAATGACAAAGTGTTAAGCATAACATTCATGCACATGTGAAGGGAATGTAACCATGCAGCAGATTGGTTTGCCAACAAAGGTCTCCAAGATAGAATCAAAAAATAGTTCAAGCAAGGGGAATTAACTGGAGAGTTAGGAATGGAGGCCTATAAACAACTCTCATATTGGGTTAATGAATCATCACTGGGGAGAAAATAATGTAGTGCGTCATATTGGCTTTTAAAATCAAACAGTCTCTTCTAGAAGAATAGCATATGTTAATAAATTACTTTCTTGAAACTGGTAACTTCCAAATAATAGCACTTTTTATGCCATCTATTACTTATTTAACAATTCTATAATGACACGATATCGCTGGGAATCTCCTATATAGAGAGTCAGAGACAACTGGGGCATTGTGATAGCCTAAAAGACATTTAAAGAAATTATAACGGACACTGTTAACATCACCTCAAACTCAAGTTCATGACTGACACTAAGTTGAGTTTGGAGGCAAGTCCAAAAATTGCTGAGAGGATGATCTTAGGTGAAAATATTGCAAGTTGCTTGAGGACAAAATAGGTGCAAAGTAAGCAGTGCCATTTCATAGTTGTAGTTTGAAATGACAATTAACTTGAAACTACATTGTGGAAGCAAGGATATAGTAGTCATAACACGAAATAAGAGTATTTAGAGGCAAAATTGGTACACAAAAAAATGGAAAGAACATTTGTAGAGAAGTAGTGGGAACCGGTCGAACAAGGCGAAGATTGGTCTAAAAATACTTCAACCAATTAAAAAGGAAAACCTAGGACCTATTGGACAAGGGCAGGAATTGGTAAAGTACACGAACCAGCATTCCGAACTGATAGCTAGACACAAGCAAAATGTTGGAGGAATTGCTTTTCAATGGGACTATTATATATGCAAGGCAACTACTGCTTCACTAAAACTCCAAGTCTTTGATGCAGAGAAAAACTACATACATAGCTGCCTCAACATAATACCTTACCAGATTCCCTGCATCATGCCAGCTGGCAATAGAGAAGTTGCCCATATCATTATTGTCACAAAATGTGTTGTAATAGGCAGCTGTTTGAAGGATGATTGTGATGGTCCATAAAACAAAATTTGGCCTGACGAGTTTCACAAAGCCGCTCACACCGGATAGAAACCACAAGTTCAACTCAAAGTCGAATGGAACTTGTTTTAACACAGCTATAATCTAAAAATGAAAGAGGTAGAAACAATGAAAGGATATAAATTTTTTTTAAAGCTTTTCTGTCTAAAAGCAACAAAGATAATGTCCTAGGTTAAGGATATCTATTAATGCAA